CAATATGGTCCAATATTGGTACTGGATCTTCTATATATAGAATCTAGTAAGTAATATCGACAATATGGTCCAATATTGGTACTGGATCTTCTATATATAGAATCTAGTAAGTAATATCGACAATATGGTCCAATATTGGTACTGGATCTTCTATATATAGAATCTAGTAAGTAATATCGACGATATGGTCCAATATTGGTACTGGATCTTCTATATATAGAATCTAGTAAGTAATATCGACAATATGGTCCAATATTGGTACTGGATCTTCTATATATAGAATCTAGTAAGTTATATCGACAATATGGTACAATATTGGTACTGGATCTTCTATATATAGAATCTAGTAAGTAATATCGACGATATGATCCAATATTGGTACTGGATCTTCTATATATAGAATCTAGTAAGTAATATCGACATTATGATCCAATATTGGTACTGGATTTTCTATATAGAGAATCTAGTAAGTAATATCGACAATATGGTCCAATATTGGTACTGGATCTTCTATATATAGAATCTAGTAAGTAATATCAACGATATGGTCCAATATTGGTACTGGATCTTCTATATATAGAATCTAGAAAGTAATATCGATGATATGGTCCAATATTGGTACTGGATCTTCTATATATAGAATCTAGTAAGTAATATGGACATTATGATCCAGTATTGGTATTGGATCTTCTATATATTGAATCTAGTAAGCAATATCAACGATATGGTCCAATATTGGTAGTGGATCCTAACAAACAAATGTTTGTTGGATGTGTATTACTGGAATAGATGTATGATCAATGAAGTGATACAGACAGTACAGACAAGTTATTTGTCAAATTTTCAAGGCAATCCGCCCTTTTATCAAGACACAAATATGTATTGAAAATATGTCAATATATACAAAACAATTGACAAACAGGACAATAAAACTATAGCATAAATTACATTTATACTAATAGCAATGCCTTTCATGTTCCATCTCAATATGATGCTCAAGAATTATATAAAATTTATTCCAACAAGGTTTTTTTCAAAACAGACACAATGTATTGATCTATAAAGTTGATCTACATATAAATAAAATTGAATTGTACACAGTGATCAATCTGCAATTTATTTTCATGAACTGATTGTATTGCTAAAAAGAAGGGTCCTACAATGTAAAATTCAAGTATGTCCAGAAATTCTTTGAATCCCATCAAACTTCTATGAGTACAGGACACAGGACTTGCATGTAAAAAGTATACTTAACCAACTTGAAATTAGATTTTCACATAGTGATGAGACAGTGATTGGATATAATTGATTATCAATGATCTGATGAGATGATAGATTGTAATTTTTCCTATTAATTGATACCTTATTATTTTCTTGTGTTTTAGCAAAAAAAAAACATTCATATTAGGCATTATAAAGATGCCAATTGCCAATAACATTCAATCCTGTGTTAATTCTAGGTGAGTGAGGTATTTCAGTTTAATGTTAAGGTTAAAGAAACAGAGAATGCATTCACTTTCTGTGAATATTGAACACCCAGTCAGCTGATCATGTAAACAAAATATATGTTTCAATTATACAAAAAGCCTTTAAGATTTTTACCAATAATCGATTACAGATTTTAACCTTTTTCCCATCACTACTTTTTATGGCATCTAAATTTCAGAATTGGTAAGAGATATGTTTATAGTCTTTTATATGCCTTTTAAGACATGGTATACATGTGTGCACTGATAATGTATTAAAAACAAAAAAAATTCAATATGGCCCAATGGCCTATATGATGTCATATGCAAAAGTTTAAAACAGCCATAACTTAAAAAGTATTTACTGTACAGCTTTTCCGAACTGATATTATGGTAGCCAATGTTTGGGGCTAAATTTTATCTTCGACATATAAATCCCTAAAAGGTCAAATTAAAAAGCTAACTATAGGGTCAAAGGTCATCAATTTTTCAACTTTTTAAATTTTAAAATCATTTTGAAAAATTCTTATGTAGTCAACAGGATATTCTATTCTGATTAAGTTTTCAGTTTGTAACATTTACCTTCAATATGATAAAACATTTAGAAAATTTGACAAATGTTTCAAGTTTGTAGTAAAATTTTACACAACTTCTTCCCAATAACCAAAAGGCCCAGGCAACTGAAATTTGGCCTAGACAATGTTAGTATGAAGAGCTACAAATTTTGTTAATATGATTGACCTTGACTTTCTCAAAGGTCGTGGTGGTCAAGCGGAAATTAAACAAAAACAGGTTGAGTTTGTTTAAGACTTCAAAACACTTTTTCTCAATTACCAAAAGACCCATGCTACTGATATTTCATCAGTAAAATGTTCGGATAAAAGGTCACTAGGTGTGTTAATATGGTTGACTTTGATCCACTTTCAAAGTTAGGGCGGTCAAATGAAAATAACAAAAAGATATCAACTAATCAGGGTACAGCAGTCTCATTAAATATGCACAGAATTTGCCGATAATCAAACGTTTACAAGGAGTTAAGGTAACAAGTCTACGTAGCAAGTCTCATCATAATTCATTGGTTTCTTTAAAAGATACCAAATAGAAAACATTCAGTTAGAGTGCCAAAATATATTAGCCAATCAGGTCACAGCAGTCTCTTAAAATAAGCATAGAATTTGCCTGTAATCGAACCTGAACAAAGAATTATGGTAATACATCTACAAAGCAAGTTTCCTAGAAATCTTATCATTCCTTCATCCTTCATAAGATATGTGCAGAAAGCATTCCCATAGAGTAATCAAAGAAATCAGCTAATCAGATCACAGCAGCCTCATTAAATAAGCACAGAATTGGCCGTTAATTTAACATTAGCAAAGGATTAATGTAACCAACCAAGTTTCATCAAATTCATACCAATCCTTCAAAAGATATCAAGCAGGAAGTGGACGGACGGAAGGACAGACGTAGATAGAGTCGTTTTGACCTTCTGTCAACTATACTGTTTTTCTAATCAGTCCCAAATTCAAATGGGCACAACACAAAGGGGAACCTACATATAAAATCTGAGAGAGATCCATCCTGTACAGAAACAATGATAACAATCTTTGCCAGGCAAAATCCAAAATGGCTTTCAGTTGGGACCAAGGAAAATCCATATATAAAATAAGAGAGAGATCCATCTCACACTTCTCAAGAAACAGGGATTACGAAAATTATTTATTAACAGATGGACTGACTATGGACACATGGTGATTTCAATGCCCACCATCTGATCACTTTCTTTTTTTCTCTTCTGATGATGAAGGGTTCATGAAATATCTTGCATACTGGCTTTTACTGGTATTTTACAAGAAGTCAAGTGTGACCTTCAACCTTTAACCTTAACCAAAGACTACCAAAATCTAATCAGGCATTAGGACTAGGGTGTGGTGCTATATGGTATGAATATGAACTAAATCTGTTGAATGGTTAATGTGGTATCTTCTACACAAGAATAGATTCATATTAAAAAAGGCCAAAAGATGTTATTTCAAAACTAATTAAACATCAATCTGTTGTCCACATGAAATATAATTGGTGTTTTAACAGAAATTACGATTTTGTACCTAAATCAAATACTGCTGATAAAAAGTAGTACCAGGGTTTTCCATAATTTTGTTAGTAGTAGGCTGTGTAGTGAAAGTAGGAGGCTGGCCTGCCGTGTACGTGTAGTCGTGTACATAACATTATTACGGAACTGGATTGGTGTAGGCGGCCAAATGATCAAAGCAGCCGGTCAAATTGGCCGGCGACTGGCTCTTGTGGAAAACCCTGAGTACATGAACATCAGGTTTACTATTTGTCAGTATTTCTCATGTCAGTTTCCTCTTAATATATTGCTGATGAGGACATCACTAACAACAGAATGTTTTTGAACTTTCCATTGATTTGTGATGCAATACTGCTTCCTCACCCTTGGGAGCCATAAAGCCTGCTTTATGTATCTGTCTGGTGGATTTGTTTAGCTGCCACACATATCACATGTTAACATTTATAAAAGACATTGGCAGAGTCCATGCCTAATGATTGACATACTATTTTTGTATATTCAGGATGTATGGTCTAGCAAAGGGTACAATCAATGCTTTATAAAACAACAGGTCCAGGCAAACTGAGAGAGATATCTTCGTACAAAATTGACATTATGAAAACAACAAAGGACAGTTACCCTTCCAAAATACAGTCGAATCAAACTGACATTCAGGAAAATACAACTTCATTGTCATGGTGATAAAACCTATCAAGTTTAAAAACTGTGGGAGGAGATCTCCACAAGGATTAAAGTTTAGGGCGGACAAATGGATGGACAGATAGGCAACACCATAACATAATATGTCCCATCACAATTTTTGACCAGTGCACAAAAAAGGAGGGAAACAGGTTTATCAGGAAAGACTACCATAAACTTTCAACAAATGTATGCCAGGAAGATAGATTATTAGAAAAAGCATTTTACAGATATAGCCTGCATATCTCAGTGATCAGGTGAGGTTTTCATTTCCTGATATATATTTTGACGAGTTGATGAGTTCTTGGATTCCAGACCCATATATAAAGTTGATATATATTTTACTGTTAAATGCTGAAAATATGATGCTCAAAAACAGCTAAAATCAGTAAAAAGAAAAAAAATGCTAATAATATTCCAACACTTAAAATTTTCAGTGTACATGTGTTTACAGGAAGACGGTTGCGTGTGTAACAATAAATTTTGAAGAAAAAAAATTACCATTTAAATTTTCTCACAAAGCAGCGATCAACACAAACTCTAGTAAAAGATATATTTATATTTGAATTAAGAAAGATGTTTTTTGTTACATGTTCTTGTTCAGCTGTCAGCCAGCACAACTGTACGTTGCCGGTGATGGATGTATTTTGCCACTGTCAAGTGTTACAGATGGACGCCGAAGTTCGAGCTTATAATCACATTCAAAATTATCAGCCAATTCGTGACAAAAATATCAACGAATTGCAAACATAGATAAAGTGACCTACTTTTTCTTGAAGAAAGGATGTCGTACCGCGAACGACGATGCCATCACGATTGTTGGTGTTTATCTACTGCCGGTGATACCTGAAAAAAATCTCCAAAAAGATCGCGTAAATAAAATTATAAAATAACATCTATTTCATTACGAAATAACCATTTTCAAACAACATTCATCTTTGAAAAAAAAATCGAAGTGGAATTGGTAGGTGTTAAACCTCTTGCGAATGAGAATCATTTGTTTCTGATATAGGTAAAATATTGGGGTATTATTTATAAATCGCGCACCGCTTTAGAAAAGCGTTCGTTCAGCAGCACTTGAACCCTTGGGATGTAAGGATATTTTGTACTGTTGAAGGATCAAAATATAAGCGTCAAAATAACGTCGAAGCGATGAGTCAGACTTGGGAAAGATATTGTAATATTGTCTTGTGCTTGTCAAGAGACTCTCTCCAATGTGTGTGGAACACAATAAGACTTGATATTTTTGTTTCAGACGAATACACGAATGAAGACAATATGAATTTTCTCAATTACTGCTGTCAGCAGCAGAAGAGGAAGGAGAGGCGCCGATATCTTCAGCAGGTTGATGAACCGATGATACCTGCCTCCGAATCTCCCAAACTAGCACCAGTTTTGGATCATTCAGTACCGAAGTCGACTTCAACATCAGAGAGCATCAATAGCGCGTACATCACTATGATATCTGGTCAGTGTGGTACTCCCCATCAAGACATGATGTTTGCAGTTTTACACAATGATAAAGTTGCTCTGCAGACGCTTATTGAAAAGGAGGAAGTCATCAATTCATGGACAGATATTTTTCAGTTTGTAAATTGTAGTCAAAGAGTAGTTACTCCCATGGAGTTAGCGTGCATGCTTGGTTATATTGATTTAGTGGAACTTTTTCTTGACAATGGTTGTAGTCCAAATCTCCCTACCTCTGCTGGTAGACTTATCCATACGATCATGGATACATTGAAGTCAGGAAAGATGGACATGAAAGAAGGACAATCACTGGTGAAAAGGTTGTGTAATGAAGGTTGTTATGTAAATATAATTGATCAGAATCACAAAACACCAATTCTGTTGGCTGCTGAGCTTGGAGATGTAGAGATACTGAAAACTCTATTATCAGTTGTTGATCCGGCAGTATTAAACCACGGGGATGTCCCAAATGGATTTACCCCTTTACATATGTCTGCAATGAGAGGGGACTTGGATTGTGTTCTGGAAATTCTTAAGTACTGCACTCCTGGCACAGTGAACATAACCGACTGTAAAGGCTACTCACCAGTGAAGCTAGCGCTTGTTTCAATGTACAAGAATGTCACTTATATGAATAACTTGATAAAAGTCTCAAAGAATGGAACTAATGAATCTTCACAGCTACAACATTTAAGACAATTGCAGTATCAATCAGTGGCAATCATTGAAGCTCTTCTTCTGCATGGTGCTGAAATAAATAATCAAACTGATTGTTATAGAGACACTTTATTATACCAGGCTCTGGAACTTGTGTGTAAGGATGAAACATGTGAGAAATTCAGACATGACAAATATAGTCACACAATGCAGCTCATTGCATCAACAAAATTACAAGATCTTAACATGGCAATTACTGGGAACGAATCTGAATCTAACAACAAACAAAAAGCTGTGACGGCATCACCGTATTCTGGAATCGTCCGTCTGTTTGTTCTATATGGAGCTGATCCCATTCAAAGCAAGGATGTTTGGCAGCTGAGTTTTGGGTTGAGGGACAGAACAGAAGTACAACAGCTAATTGATGAAGTTTTTTATTTTTGGGAGAACAATGTAAATGATGGACCCCCAAAGTTAATTCAGCTGAGCAAACAAGTTATAAGGACAGTTTTAGCTAGCTGCCAAAACCTCCACCGAATGGATGACCTTCCCCTTCCTCCGTCCCTTAATGCATTCATCAAACTTCAGTGTCTCTGATCATATGTGACATTAATCAAATCTGTATGAAAAGAAAATTTGCAAATTTATTCCATATAATATTATGATTAGCAGTGGTTCTGTATTTCTGACCTGCTTAGTTCCAATTGCTTGCCCTCCAGGTTGATGTAATATCATTAAATAATTTATTTATAAGGTCCAAAGTTGTTAACCCCCTTTTCCAAAATTTTAATTTTAAATGTATGTTAGTGTATACCCAGGTATCCTTATTCATTGAAAAAATATATAGGAAAAAAACTGCTCAACTTGCACTGCATGATTTTTAAGATTTATTTTTTGCTATTTAACTCAAAATGGTATACAGTATGTCTAGAAAATATAAGTATACATGCAAAGTCTTTATTATGGTTATTTTTCATAATGTGAACAACATGTATGTTGTGTTCATTGGATCAACGTGCTCATATGAAATCCTTATAATTTCCATTTCATTTAATTTTGAATGGACTTCGAATTTCAGCTAAAAGTAAAACCCTGTTTACTGTGGAGTTTGATTTCCATTTATAAATTAACCTCTTTACAGAAAATCCTTTAAAAGGCTATATGTTATATTATTTTTTTTAGCATATAATTTCAATAGTTTATCTCGTATCAACAGTTAAAAAAATTGTTTTTTGTAAGAATTATATTAATAGCATTGAAACCACTCATACGGTGAGAATTTTGATAAAATTCAAAAGGTAAAAAAATAGCCTGGAATATGATGAAAACCTTACCCATTTCTTTAGACATTTGTTTGTTTTCAAAGCTTGTGATGTGCAAGTCCATACCCTTTTTGAAATACTCAGTATATTGTCACAACTTAGTTACCTCCCTTTCCAAAATGCTATAAAGCTATTTTCATGGGTTGTTACTTTTTTAGGTCTCTGGTGCAACATGATGTCGTGATGTTACTGCGACATCAAAAACCACATGTTAATTGAAGAAATTGATTCAACTACAAATATAATCCATATATTATAAAAATGTTTGAAGACATTTTAACTTTAATCCAGTTTAACTGTCAAATTTTCTTTTCTAAACTACTTTTTGAACTTCTCTTTATCATGTTTTATTTGAATAAAATGAGAACTCAAAATTTTAATAAGTGCATTAGTATGACCAATTTTTTGTTAGTTAATCTGAAAGTGATATTGATTTAAATACATATTGAATTTTCATTTCAATTTGTTTTCAGTCTGAAGCAAAATTTACATATTCCCAAGTTCAAAACCTTTGCAGGTGATTAAATAGATGTGGAAAAGTTAAGATATATGTGTATTATTTCAGTTTTCTCAATGTTATGAATTAAACTGTATTGTGCAATATCTCAAATAAGTTTAATGAGTGGATAGATGCTAACATGTCAGTTAAGTTTGTAGAATCTGCCAAATTAATAAAAGATACCGTCTGTTATACATAATGTAGATCCATTTTTTACACACGTTTGTTGATTATGACTTAGGGATGGTAATCTGGAACAACACTTTATTTTATTCATTTTTTTGTCCATGTCTGATATTATTCTTTTTAAGCAGTAAATGCTGATTTATCTAAATGAAAATGTAGAGCTGTACATATTTTAGGGCTCTTCAACATGTATTAATAATTGAAAGGAAGCTGTAAACGTATTGTATTGTACATCAGTATTCTTGAAAAATGTTTTAATTGCACATATTTGAAGCAAAGCTCAATGTATATATGATATACCATATCCCAAGATAGAAATGAATTGAATTTAGAATATAATATTATATACTTTATCATGTAGTTATATTGTTCTTTTTTTCAATAACTGAACAAAAGTCATTTAATGTGTATGTTCTTTGTTAGAAGGCTTTATGCCAGAAGCAAATGACACTTTACATAATAAAGGGAGGTAATTTGCCATTCTCCCTCTCATCCTTGTATATTGTAATATATCAGGATGCATTTAAATGTGCAAATGTATTCTATAAAAATATTGCAATGATATGTTTTTTCAATTTCCTAATAAATCTTCCAATTGGTAAAATGTGAGACTTTTATTAAAAGATGCAGCGTTTGCATGTTCACATCACTTGCCTTGTTTTGTTTTTTTCTCCTTTTTGATTTATTTCATCACGGGACTAAACTGAATTTCAGGAGGAAAATCTTTGAAGAATGCAGAAACCCAAAGTGTCCTGACTGATGAGGTAACATTGTATACTTAAACAAAGAGGTCCAGAATAATGAGGTAATATTGTATACAGAACCTACGGTGTCGTGACTAATGAGTAACATTGAATACAGAAATTAATATCAATTATTTCCTTTTAAAATCTTAATTTCCAGTATCTGTCAGAAAATTATCACTTCTGTTTTTAGGTCATCTGACCCGAAGGGTCCGATGACCTATAGTCATCATGCTTCGTCCGTCGTCGTCCGCCGTGCGCCGTCCGCCGTCCGTAAACTTTTCATTCAAACGACTTCTTCTCAAATACTAGAAGGTCTAGGGGGCTAATACTTGGCACAGAGGATACTGGCATGGAGCTCTACCAAGTTTGTTCAAATGAATGACCTTGACCCACTTTAAAGGTCACAGGGGTCAAATATGTTAAAATATTTAAACAACTTCTTCTCAATAACCAAAAGGCTCAGATTGCTGATATTGTGCCTGTGGCATGCTGGGATGAAGGGCTATCAAGTTTGTTTAAATGAATGACCTTGAACAACTTTCAAGGTCACAGGTGTCAAATATGTCAAAATCTTTAAATAACTTCTTCTCAAATACTAGAAGGCCTAGGGGGCTAATACTTGGCCCATAGCATGCTGGCATGGAGCCCTACAAAGTTTGTTCAAATGAATGACCTTGGCCCACTTTCAAGGTCACAGGGGTCAAATATGTTAAAATATACAAAGGACTTCATCTCAATAAGCAAAAGTCTATGAGTGCCGATATTGGGTCTGTAGCATGCTGGGAGGAAAGGCTACCAAGTTTATTTAAATGAATGACCTTGACCCACTTTAAAGGTCACAGGGGTCAAATATGTTAAAATCTTTAAACAACTTCTTCTCAAATACTAGAAGGCCTAGGGGGCTAATACTTGGCCCATAGCATGCTGGCATGGAGCCCTACAAAGTTTGTTCAAATGAATGACCTTGGCCCACTTTCAAGGTCACAGGGGTCAAATATGTTAAAATATACAAAGGACTTCATCTCAATAAGCAAAAGTCTATGAAAGCCGATATTGGGTCTGTAGCATGCTGGGAGGAAAGGCTACCAAGTTTATTCAAATGAATGACCTCAACCCACTTTCAAGGTCACAGGGGTCAAATATGTTAAAATCTTTAAACAACTTCTTCTCATTAACCAAAAGGCTCAGAGTGCTGATATTGGGCCTGTAAGATGCTTGGAGGAGAGGCTACCAAGTTTGTTCAAATGAATGACCTCAACCCACTTTCCAGGTTTGGCTTGCTTTTTGTCAGATGACCGTTAAGGCCCATGGGCCTCTTGTTTTCATAACTTGGGGAATTGGTAGTATTTTAACAAAAGTGACTCCTCTGAACTCATATATTGCTCAAGGTCATTTTCATTGACAAATTCATTATACTTGTCATAAAGGACCCTTTTCGTCTAGGAAATTGTCCTAAGACAAAACATGCTATTCCATTCAAATAACAATAACATGATATTAACAAATAGTATTAATATTTTAATACATATACACAAATAAAATCCAAGACAATTCACAACATGTTTCTTGTAGGGGCTGACACAATATGTAAATGTTATTGATGGTGTCAGGCCAATGTGTTTCTGACATCAGTTGATATTGCTTCAAATAAAAGACTAAATAACCTTAAACAATCAGAAATCTTAAGGACTTTAGATATTCTCTATTTCATATGAAAAACCCATATGTGTAATGTGGAATTTGGAGGTCTCGCTATCAAAAATCCCTGATCCGCAAAATGTTTTACTGATAAAAACAAATTCCCTGCGATGGCCACCTTCAGAGGATGACAAAAGCTGACTTGTATTGAAACAGTACTGCCCTCTGTCTCGAGTAAATTCTTGACAATTTACTAAGTAGAGTTACTTGCCCATCTGTTTTCCATCAGTCCTTGGTGTTCTGACCAATCAATTCACTAAATCAAGAAACTTTTATCTTCTTCTAAGAAAATTCAACAAAGAATTAGAGACAGAAGATAGGTAAAAAGTTAGCGTGGTTATCTATCACTTACTTAAACAAATTCAAATCAATAAGCAGAAAGGTGTTTAACAATATGGTAGAATAAATCTTAAACTATTATGACAAAGTAAGGCAACATATATCAACAAATTTGCATGTTACAGAACAGCAGCCCTCATTCTTGATACTAGTTGCACATTCTAAAAGATAAATTACAAAGTCAAATAATTTGCGAAAACTCCATCATGAAATCATTCTAAATATAATCCTAAACACATATTTCATTTTCCTACCTTCCAATAACTCATTAAACTCATTCATCAAATTTTAAAATTAAAGTTAAAGGGATCTATCAAACAAAATTGTATCAATAAAATGAATCTTGGCACCAAATTCTGCAAAAGAACCCTTATCACTGCAGATAATCAGAAAAGGGTTTGTGAAAATGTTCAAAGTTCTCATTCCCAAAGCTGGTGGATCACACTAAAAATGACTAAATATGTCAATAGTAAGTGATAATAAATTATAATAGAAACAGCGATGTTCAAATCTATTAAATACTGCAAAATCAAATATTTTCTTGGGCCCAAATTTTCATGATTTTTCACAGTAACACTTTGTAATAAATATGATTTTGTGGATAGATAGAGCTCAATAACTGAACCTACATTAATCACATAATGTATAACAGTTCATTGACAGATGAATTTGTAGATTTAGAATATTCACAAAATCTATGAAAATAAATCGCACACAAAAATTAATGGTTTTACAGTATCATTCAAAATTAAATTTTCGCTATTAAACAATTTCTTTAAGTTCAATTGCTTCAATAAAAATGAAAAAATCCAGTCGTTTATATTTAAATTCCGTTCATAAAACTTACATGGTGGTGTATGTAGAATGAAAATGAGACAAACTATTGATAATCAAAAAACATTCAGTCAGACATCATGTAAAATGTTTGTTGACACAGGTATCAGTCCGTAGGTATGTGAACATCAGTCCGTAGGTATGTGAACATCAGTCCGTAGGTATGTGAACATCAGTCCACAGGTATGTGAACATCAGTCCGTAGGTATGTGAACATCAGTCCACAGGTATGTGAACATCAGTCCGTAGGTATGTGAACATCAGTCCGTAGGTATGTGAACATCAGTCCACAGGTATGTGAACATCAGTCCGTAGGTATGTGAACATCAGTCCACAGGTGTGTGAACATCAGTCCACAGGTGTGTGAACATCAGTCCGTAGGTGTGTGAACATCAGTCCGTAGGTATGTGAACATCAGTCCACAGGTATGTGAACACAGGTGTGTGAACATCAGTCCACAGGTGTGTGAACATCAGTCCACAGGTGTGTGAACATCAGTCCACAGGTATGCGAACATCAGTCCATTGGTATGTGAACATCTGTTCATAGGTATGTGAACATCAGTCTATTGGTATGTGGACATCTGTCCACAGGTGTGTGAATATCAATTCATTGGTATATGAACATCAGTCCATGGTATGTATTGTTATTGATAACTGCTTCATCTTTAGTGATTTTTTTAGTACTGTTACATAAGAAATTGTATTCAGAACCTGAAGAGCGTCTGGAGGAGATTATGTCGTGCTGGTCCAGATTTATCCAAGAGTGGATGTGGTCTGAAATTAAAACATTAAACATTATTCCTGGGATAAATCTTTACATTATATCTACTATGCAATATTTAGGTTATTATATATGAACGTATGAACACAATTGATTTAGTTTTATTTGTTTTCTGTAAAATTTAAAATCAAATAAAACTATAAAATGTTCATTTCTGTTGATACTTTATTTCTTGGATTGATCTTATTCAAAAAAGGCAAAATGTACTCAAGTGATATTCTGGCCTTCAGACTCAAAATTGTTGATGCAACGTCATAAAAATTTTTCTTCTTTGAAGAAAGAAAAAATAAATTTCCTAGAATACAATACAAAAATATCTCACCTGACTTGTGTTCCCTGAGAGTTATTGCTTGTATAAATAAAACAGGATACTAGAAGACTTTTTGTACTTACTTACTAACAAACGCTGACAAAATTTCTCTAGATTGTTTCGGAAAGTATGACTGCTGGACGGCATGCTCTAATACTGTAAGCGGGCCAACTATACTACTGGGTGGTCGGAATTTCTTGTCTTCACCCTGTCAAAAAAAAATAGGAAAAATCTTAGATTTAATAACATACAGCAGATGTATATGAACAAATTTTCACATTTCCATTTTTTTAAGATGAGGTTTTAAGTTTTTATAGTGTCATCAACTGCATGTGAATTATGAGACAATTTTAAATTTCAAAACGAACTTCGACTTAAGTCAAGGCACGGATTCCTGATTAAATCTTCAAATTTGACAGCAGCTCTGTGTGAATATAAGATGACTTACATGCAGTTCTCAAACCATTTTTAATGCACCATGCTAACCTTCATTTTGAATTTTTCAAAATGATCAGTAGCAAACTTTTGTCATAGTCGTAGACTTATCAGCAGATTTAATGATAAACTAATCTATATAAATTGTACATGTTACATTAACATTAAGATGTCAATTTAAAGTACTCATAGAGTGCAAATGAAAGCTGAAATTCTAAAAGCTTTGTAAAAGAAAATATAAAACTATGGGATCATTCTGCTTTATGAATTTTGTAATCATGCCAAGCCTAAAAAATGTGTTTCCAATCTCCTAAACACCAATATGTGTTTGAACCCCCCATCTAATTCTGGTTAATTTTCAGAAGTAACTTGTATTATCATAAAAAACCAACACCCATTGACCATTTGATAGTATCAGTGAAACTTATGAATACTGCCTGAAAAAAGGGCAATAACTCTGTTATTAAGGGGCAGCAAGCCCTGAATATGATATAATGCACATCCTCTTAGTATGACCAATTAATACACCAAGTTTCATTGTTCTAGCTTAAATGAAAACAAATTTATACTCTAGACACAAAAGGTATATAACAAAGGGCAATAATTCTGTAATTCGGGGCTTTCAGAATGTATACACTAAGTTTCATTATCCAAGTTTAAGTACAAGCGATTTAAAGTTAATCTCTAGATACAACATTTTGAAATAGAGTCTTAGCATGATCAATGTATACAATTTCAATTGTTTCAATGTCCTGCTTTAAATGCAAGCAAAGTTATGCTAGAGATATGAAATTTTTACAAAAGGCAATTACTCTGTAAGAGAGGGACTGAAGGTCCTGAAATTGATACACTACACATAGCCTTAGTATTAATAATGTATACACCAAGTTTTAAGAACCTTGCTAAGTGTGGGCAAACATTATGTTCTAGATAGGAAAAGAAGGACGGACAGAAAGATGGAAAAAATGTTGGGAGCATTTTTTTTCTTGTTTACCCAAAATTCACTGGCCAAAAGTATTCAAACTTTATACATATAAAAGTTTTAAAATTAGTTACTTGCTCTCTTTAATAACTTTACCTTTAACACTCCCATATTGACCAGCAAGGAATTGGCGAACAGTGAGGCTCCCCCTTCTGTACTGTCCAGCAGTAAGTCCTCAAATAATTTATCTGAAAGAGTCATTCACCAAAACCTCAATATAATGTCTTTTCATTATATGTCACTAACACAATATGTTATGTTTCATCGAAAAGCTCTGTCGTTATATCAAGCATAGAGGTCATTCCTTGCACAAGTTGCTGTCTTAGGCTGATTATCACAAAGGCATTTGTAAAAGAGATATAAATAATGTAAACATACATAATTTGATGCAATCAAATTCCAGTGTATTATCCCTTTTTCACAAACTATCGTAATGATAAATTAGGGCATTCACAGTACATGTACTTGCTGTATAAATAGCAAGACACCAATTAGCACAATGCTATTGTAGCACTTTCCACTGAAAAGTGCTAAATATGAATACCAGTAAAATAAGGACATTTCTAGTTCAACATATTTAAGTTTATTTCATAATGAAATTTCTTATTAACACATGTTACAAAGATTCAGTATTATATAAACAATAAAGTAATTTGGCAATGTAATTAGAGTCAAAAAGTAATTGGATGGTAATGTAAATATACTGCACATTTTATTTTTTGCTTACTGTAAACATCATTCATTTTTGTGAGAGATTTATTTTCATTGAATTTCTGAGTTCTCTTAATCCACAAATTTTTATGTCCTGAACTGTTAAGATAAGTAGATCTGGATACATTCATCAATGAAATCAAATTACCAAAGGAAACATTTTTTTAAAACTAGGAAAATTGAGCTCCTAGAAAATATATGGTTTAACTGTAGATATATTCCATATGGCAATATCAATTCATCATCCCTTACAGCAGAAAATTATACCTGTGCAATCACATGCTGCTTCTTTGGTCTTTGTGTCAACAGTGGTAACAACAGAAGAAACCTGGAAATAAGAAACAGCTTGTGTCATACCTGTCTGTCAACAAATAAGAAACACAACCTGTGTCATACCTGTGTGTCAACAAATAAGAAACACAACCTGTGTCATACCTGTGTGTCAACAAATAAGAAACACCTGTGTCATACCTGTGTGTCAACAAATATGAAACAACCTGTGTCATACCTGTCTGTCAACAAATAAGAAACACAACTTGTGTCATACCTGTCTGTCAACAAATAAGAAACAACTTGTGTCATACCTGTGTGTCAACAAATAAGAAACAACTTGTGTCATACCTGTTTGTCAACAAATAAGAAACAACCTGTGTCATACCTGTGTGTCAACAAATAAGAAACAACCTGTGTCATACCTGTGTGTCAACAAATAAGAAACACCTGTGTCATACCTGTGTGTCAACAAATATGAAACAACCTGTGTCATACCTGTCTGTCAACAAATAAGAAACACAACTTGTGTCATACCTGTCTGTCAACAAATAAGAAACAACTTGTGTCATACCTGTGTGTCAACAAATAAGAAACAACTTGTGTCATACCTGTGTGTCAACAAATAAGAAACAACTTGTGTCATACCTGTGTGTCAACAAATAAGAAACACAACTTTTGTTATACCTGTGTGTCAACAAATAAGAAACACCTGTGTCATACCTGTCTGTCAACAAATAAGAAACACAACCTGTGTCATACCTGTTTGTCAACAAATAAGAAACACCTGTGTCATACCTGTGTGTCAACAAATATGAAACAACCTGTGTCATACCTGTGTGTCAACAAATAAGAAACACCTGTGTCATACCTGTGTGTCAACAAATAAGAAACACCTGTGTCATACCTGTGTGTCAACAAATAAGAAACACCTGTGTCATACCTGTGTGTCAACAAATATGAAACAACCTGTGTCATACCTGTCTGTCAACAAATAAGAAACACAACTTGTGTCATACCTGTCTGTCAACAAATAAGAAACAACTTGTGTCATACCTGTGTGTCAACAAATAAGAAACAACTTGTGTCATACCTGTGTGTCAACAAATAAGAAACAACTTGTGTCATACCTGTGTGTCAACAAATAAGAAACAACTTGTGTCATACCTGTGTGTCAACAAATAAGAAACACAACTTTTGTTATACCTGTGTGTCAACAAATAAGAAACAACCTGTGTCATACCTGTCTGTCAACAAATAAGAAACACAACCTGTGTCATACCTGTCTGTCAACAAATAAGAAATACAACTTGTGTCATACCTGTCTGTCAACAAATAAGAAACACCTGTGTCATACCTGTGTGTCAACAAATATGAAACAACCTGTGTCATACCTGTCTGTCAACAAATAAGAAACACAACTTGTGTCATACCTGTGTGTCAACAAATAAGAAACAACTTGTGTCATACCTGTGTGTCAACAAGTTAGAAACACAACTTGTGTCATACCTGTGTGTCAACAAATAAGAAACACAACTTTTGTTATACCTGTCTGTCAACAAATAAGAAACACAACCTGTGTCATACCTGTCTGTCAACAAATAAGAAATACAACTTGTGTCATACCTGTGTGTCAACAAATAAGAAACACCTGTGTCATACCTGTGTGTCAACAAATATGAAACAACCTGTGTCATACCTGTCTGTCAACAAATAAGAAACACAACTTGTGTCATACCTGTCTGTCAACAAATAAGAAACAACTTGTATCATACCTGTGTGTCAACAAATAAGAAACACAACTTTTGTTATACCTGTCTGTCAACAAATAAGAAACAACTTGTGTCATACCTGTGTGTCAACAAATAAGAAACACAACTTTTGTTATACCTGTCTGTCAACAAATAAGAAACAACCTGTGTCATACCTGTCTGTCAACAAATAAGAAACAACATGTGTCATACCTGTCTCTCAACAAACAAGAAACATAACTTGTGTCAAAATGCCATGTCATAGATTGTAAGCTAATCCATTACTATAAAAACTTGCATCAGGTGCACACATACATAATTTGCATAGGAAATCTTTTGAAAATACTGAAAATATACTTCTACTTACATAATTCGCATCTAAAAATAACGTTCATATGAAAACATTATTTATCCAAATGCAGGAAAAGGTTCATAAATATAAAGTTGTGTTTCAGGATCAAGTTTGCACAGATTTCAGGATCATGACATTACGTCCATTATTTTTGACAATTCAACAAAAATTCCAGTTGTCATTAGATTCAACAAAGTTTCAAATATCAAGAAAAGTTTAGCTTACTTCAAGGGAGACAATTCTAAATAGTATTTTTGTTTTCTCACCTTCATAAATGTCTGTACTGCCTTGTCTACATCAGAGCTATCACTCTAAAAAATGAAAATCTTGACTATATTCTTGACTACATGTACATATTTTAAGAAGCTGAAACACTGTAAAACATTTAACTATATTGTGTTTATCTAGTACACACATATGAAAATTAAAAAATAAAGAATTTTTCAGTAAGTTTTGAAACTTCTTTCAATTATTAACTTTTTTCAAAGAATTCTTTATTTCTGATCCTAAAAGTTATAAAACACATTTTAATACAGTTTCGATGACAATAATTTCTCTATTTGAAATGTGAAATCTTTACCCCGAGTTCTTGTTTGAGTGCAGTGGCACGTCCTGTTCCCATCTGAATCAACTTTGTCGGAGAAGGAAATGCCAGAAAATCCTTCGCAGAAACAGTCTGAAAAAATAGTATCAAACTCTACTACATTTGAAATAATGAATATACAAGTAAGAAGCATCACCGTTTAACTGAATGACACCTACATGTACAAGTAGTGATGGTTGGGGACCAGAGACAGATTTGGTTTATACGATACAACTCCAGTTAGCAGACTGATCAGATACCATTGTAATGGAAATATGTCCATACATGGTTATAAGCCCATTAACTGAAGACCAATAGAAATAAAAACAAGTGCTACATTGGAATATCATTGTCCTGTAAATGGCCATTTCCTGGATTTTGTGGTTATGGCTGCTTGTTGATCCCCTGGGTGTATAGCAGGATAAATACAGATTAAAGTTTAAGATAACAGCCCAAAGCATGTTATGATGCATGCTAATCTATACTTCTTACAAATAAACAGTAAACAGTTTTTTTTCAATGATAAAATATTCCTGATTTTATTAAAATTTCAAAGCAATAACAAGATTTATTTTTCACAGGTATCATGAAACAATCTGTTTTCTCTGCCAATTTTGATTCAAAGAATGGATACTGCATACAAGGATATTTTTGACCCCATTTAACTTTTGCCCTTTACAATCAAGCATGGCCAGGACAAGCAAATGCAGGATGATAAAAATATGTTGCACTTATATAACCATTTGCTGTAATCCTCAGGGTAAAATTAACACATAATAAATAGTACAAGGGCCAAAATATTTCAATATACAGTATCAATTCAATCTTTAGAATCTATTTTACTTCTTTTTTATTTATTTTATTTTTCATTTTTGTCTTCTTTTTCCCTATGTAATCAATGTCTTTATTCCATTTTTCATTATCTTTAAATCAACAAAGGTCAGGAATACATATATATTATGTAAGTACACAAACACAGGTTTCTATTGTTATGAAAATAAAGCTGAGTGCAAAGTCTCCAGTTGAAAAGTATGTGAAGATAGAAACACAGGTCAAAGGTCACATTAATACATTACACCTCAAGATGTATGGCAATGTCTGATAATTCTGCTAATTGCTAATTTTTCACACCAGAGAAACAAGAAATATATTTGGAAATTTGTTATATTTAATTTATAATTTGTTATAAATATTTCTTTTATTTCCCACAAAAATTTCCAAACTTAAGAAAGGTTCTACGTTTTGATCACTTAGTTGTATGTAGGCATGCCCTTAGTACATAGATATGGACCATAGGTTAGGACTTTGTGTCTAATCTCTGTCGGCATGCCTCAAACTATGAAATTATCAATGGTAAATTTTATTTGGTAAAATTGGTAAAGTTCTAAAAGAATTTTTTTTTGTTAATATCTTACTGTACCTAAATTCCGAAGGAAAGTCAGCTAGGAACTTGGAACTTAAAAATCAAAATACAAGGACTTCTCTAGCAGGCAAAGAATTAACAGTGGTCAACCATTTCAGGTAGAATCTGAGCATTTTGTACAATAAAATTTACAATCAAATTGTTACATATTTTAAGTTAAACGTCTAAAATATTGAAAAGGTTGAGAAAAGAAACAATTAAACAGTTTTTTAAAAATGAAAATGGAATCTTTGGTTAAGCAGAATTACCTTCCAGCATTGTACATGTCCAGGAAAAGAAATATGGAACCTACCAATCACAGGCTCAATGAATTGGATGTGTACACGTACACCCAAAGAAAAGCTATATTCAATGTAGAAAACAATGAAATATTGCCAAAAAAAGGAAAAGAATCAAGAAATTTCATATTCAAAACGATTTATTTCGTTCAGACATGACAAAAAAAAATCAATCTTGGACCAATTCGAAATTTACACAGCCTGCTACAGTAATTATATGAACAAACTTGTAGCGCAGTGATTATGCTTTGAAAAAAGACTGTGACTATATCCTTTAAAGCAATTGACAACTTTGGTGTAAAAAAGATAAAATGTAAAAATGACTCCTATATTTAGATTTAGGCAACATTGTGACTTAAAACTTAACAAATGCTGATCTACAATATACTAGCACAGAAAATAATAAAACAAGTGACTTTGTATATCCCTAAGCTGTTGATAAATCTTTAAAATAAAATATCCAAAGATTATCTAAATAGACATTGTATATCCCTTAGCTGTTGACAAATCTATAAAACGTGATAGCCTAGGATTGTCTATATAGGACAGCCTAAGGTACTAAAACAACAATGATGTACTAGGAGCACAGTTGTACAGTCACTGCTAATTGCATTTAACATTTTCTATCAGGACATTTTTCCATATTTTCACCAAATACCTACATAACACAACATCTCGCTCCCATTTAAAAATTTCAAGTGTTGAGATTGTGTAACTAGAAAAGCGATCCTATGTTGAAAGTCAAATTAAAATCAAATTCTTCATCAACATTTCCAATGTGGGAGAGTTGGAAAAAAAACTGATAACCAATTCTTATACTCCCACTACCCTAGTAAAGAGATGATCCATTTATATCCTAAAATAGATATATGTTGTCGCAAGAAAATTAAAAAGAAATTTGCGATACTTCATGAAGATATGATGAAAAGATGCATCATGAATTTCTGTTTTACAAGAGTTTTGCAAAGAACTAGAAGCACATAGACAAAAACTGACTCCAAATCAAATTATCTATTAGATTAGCCTAATGTCAGTTCCTTTTTCATTGACAAAATCTTAGTAGGTTTTAACAATGGGTGGAACAACTATGCCTGATTGCAGGAATAGTAAAGCAAAAAATAAACTCACAGAAACCATCCCAGAATCACACTGCTTACATATTACATCAAATCATAATTGGTCCTCAGTGTGAAATATAAAGAAAATATCTGGATTTGTTTCTTTGTTCTGGATTAGAAGTGTAAGGAAAATCTTGATTTTAAATTATAATTCGTTGGTATATTCTAAGAACAGAAATGTTATTTGTGAGTAAATTTCAATAACTGGAATAACATATGTACGTATATTTTAAGAATAGGAATATTAACATAATGTTATAAAAACTCACCATGCTTATCAAGATAAACACATGAATGATATATATCTAATTATAAAATCACAAGTCAGAAAAAAAGTTTAAAATCTTTTCTAGCAGCCGACAAAAATGAGGTATGATAGCTACAGAGACATGGTCAATTTAAGAGTATTTTCCCACAACAACTGTAAAAGATAATGACAAAAGGAATAAAAGCATATTGGAGAAAGAACTGCCTACATTAAAATCCACATTCACTAATCTGTATTATTATGATATATACTAACAATGGTTTTAATACGTCTGACTGATATTTTCTAAATAACATGTGCAAAGAGTATAAATCTCAGCTTCTGGTTGGAAACTTTGTATACAGTTGCATAAGTATACTTATAAGAACACCATACAACAATACCATGATGTTACAACACTAAAATATCACAGATAAATTTGAGAGATCCAGAGGGAAAAAATACATTCAACCATTTCTCCTCTCTAAAATTTACATATGAGTCAATTTCAATGAGACACTTCAACATGGAATATGAATTGTCCTTGGGACTGATATATTATAGCAAGTTTCCAGGAGTACTAGGGTGTTCGCTGTTGTCAAGACAGCTTCATATTTCCAAGATCCGCGACGAGATCAAGTGTGGCATCACCCTGCAAATAACCCAAAGGAGAGCTTTTAGTGGCTTTGATATAAAAACTGTGATTTTAGCTACCAAAACCATAAAAATTTGCTTTTAATGGTCATGATATTTGTAATATAAGCAGCCAATACAAAAATATGTGCTTTAGATGGCCATTAAAAAGATGAAAAAAATGTGCTTTTTGTATCCAAGACAGAAGACATACAGCACTGCATATAAAGTACCAATGGTTGTGATGAAAATTTGATTGATTGAAAGTGATAGGTAAAACAGTTTGTGAAAACAGTGAAATCTGATAAGAATTATCTTTATTGGTTTTGAAAAACAGGGTAGGAAGGGTGGTACCACACTTGACAAGTCTTCGAACACAGATCAGATTAAATATTGACACTGGATGGTATAAATCACATATGAAGGTATACCAAGATAATTTCATTGATATTGATTTTGATGTTGAAACTTCAGTGAAAGTATCCAAGTAACATTTCTGATAAAAGTATAATACATGTAAGTAATTTTGTATTGAACAAACATCATGAATTGAGTCATGATTTTGCACCTCATAATCAATTAGTAAATACCCATGTTCACCTCAGTCAAAGTTTGATTGTGTTTTAAACTATTTCATCGACTTGGATCCTATACTTTAAAATGTCCACTACATAATTAAAGAAAATAAAACCTTCTTGGAAACGACCTTTCAGTATTCTAAAATTTTCTTTGTCTACTGGTTTAATGACTGCAGAACTAAAACATTCTTGGAACCACAGATTTAATGATACCAGTAACAACATCAACCTGAAAATAATATGCAAGGAACTGACTTTTTATATATCAGCAATTCGATGAGTCAAAACACATCACATAAAGAGGTCTGTAAAAACCAAATAATAAAGAGCTAGTTATGGGGAGTTAGAAAATGCTCTGTTAGGTGTAATGTAGAGATCACAGGGTCAGAATGTTACAGCTCTGAGATAGTGGTGTACCTGTATAATTCTCACCTGTTTTTCAGGACTGATGGCCTTCCCTTTCACCTGTAATTCAGGATCATCCACAGCATCTCCCTCTTCATCTTCTTTTGCCTCCACCTCCTACAACAGATCATGTACACAAGTAACTCACAGTCCCTATGGAGATTCAACAGGATTAGTAACTGTGTGATATGTATGCTAAGATAACATAAATTCTTCACATGGTGCAGTCCTAACTCACTTTCTATTCACCAAGCTAACCAGAGTTTTATACAATCTGACAGCTTGTTTTGCAATTGTAAAATAATGAAGGTCATACTTTGTTTCCTTTTTTTCAAAAAAACAGATTAAATATGACTATTGGAGCAGTGTACCACCCTCCAAATTCAATTTGGTTCAATTACATTACCTCTAAGGGCTATTGCAGTGAAAATGTCTCAACAAGAGAGAGGGGAGGGCTGGTATATGCATTTTTTCTTGTAACAACTATGCATAGAATTTCTGGAGTCCTCCCAAGAAATTTCAATAAAGTGTTTACTTGAAATCAGAATTTCACGACTATTGTTTCGAAAAATTGAACAACGGCATTGATTAATGGGAGAAGGGAGAATTTAATACATTGCTATGGTACAATGTACTTGGCTATTTTTTTTTATCACTGTTTAAAAAAGTAAAATTGTTATGAAATGCTGCATGTACCATGGCTGTATCTCACAAAGTCTTGAACCTGATCTTGCTAATAAATAATTTCTATTACATCTTGTATCATAATCCTATTTCCTCAAAATATTGTATTATGACTATTTCAGTCAAATATCCCTCCACTGAAAGAACTCTGGGTTTGTGAATCTAAACAAATGAAAGACTGATTAAAATAGTACTGTCTAATAAGGTGCAGTTTTTCCAGTACTCATCATGAATAGATTTTCTTTATTTGTTAAATGTTTGAAAGATAAATATTTCACTGGAACAGACCAGACTAAATTTTTGCATAAAATCAACTATAACAATTAGCAAATTATCAAAACTCCATGATAAATTTAAACACTTTATGGACTCTAAATCACTCAATGATTTGTACTTTGACACGATAGTAAAGAGAAAATATAAAATGGTGTTATAGAGAAGAATATACAAACCTCTCCATGAATGTCACCATCCTCTTCATCTTCTTCATCAGTACCCTCATCTCCACTGTAACCAGATACAACCTCATATCATCTTTAATATCTTTATTCCAATTAAATTATGACTTCCTGAGAAAAATGACTTCAATAAGTAATAGTCTGTAGTATAATGCCCTACAATTATTGTCTATGAATTGTATCTGCGGTTACCATCAAACTATCGTAAAAGGAGAAAAAAATTGGGGAACTTTGTTTTTTAATTTCCCTTCTTTCTTAACAAATAACACTTTTTTGCCTTGGCAATGCCTTACTATGGCACTGAGAGTTTGTCAATTAAAGGGAGGTAATTAATTTATTCACCTTATGGAGACAAACTTCATACTTCAAAATTGGTGCTAATTACTAAAAGTGATATTTGATTTTGAAAAAAATTAACTTCCAGTGTGATAATGCATCAGAGCGTCCAGATATCACACAATATGTGTACAGATGTGGTGTCATACATCAGAGTGTTCAGATATCACACAGTATGTGTACAGATGTGATGTCATACATCAGAGTGTCCAGATATCACACAATATGTGTAAAGATGTGGTGTCATACATCAGAGTGTCCAGATATCACACAATATGTGTACAGATGTGGTGTACATCAGAGTGTCCAGATATCACACAGTATGTGTACAGATGTGGTGTCATACATCAGAGTGTCCAGATATCACACAATATGTGTACAGATGTGGAGTCATACATCAGAGTGTCCAGATATCACACAATGTGTACTGATGTGGTGTCATACATCAGAGTGTCCAGATATCACACAATGTGTACTGATGTGGTGTCATACATCAGAGTGTCCAGATATCACACAATGTGTACTGATGTGGTGTCATACATCAGAGTGTCCAGATATCACACAATGTGTACTGATGTGGTGTCATACATCAGAGTGTCCAGATATCACACAATGTGTACTGATGTGGTGTCATACATCAGAGTGTCCAGATATCACACAGTATGTGTACAGATGTGATGTCATGAGCCCAAGCTTTCATGGACATCATCTTCATATCTATGACCCTGGCTGTGATGAGGATGTAAAAACCCAATCTACGGTAAATAGTGACAATAATTGCAGTTGAAAGTGGACATTTAAACAGGGTAGAAATCACATGAGTCATTGAGAGCGAGGACGATGTGACTATAAAGACCACTATTATGATGTTGGTTTCTTAAATAAGGATGGGCCTATTGATTGATGTTTTCTTCCAGAGTACCTGTATTATTCGTACCATCAGTTTTATTGCGACATCAAAATGTTACATTAGAATCATTTTTTCTGCAGAAATGAAAGCAGCTTAAGATTAGTCACATGTACTACATATAAAAGCATATTATGTACCTCAGAGATCCAAGAGCATCTGCCCTGTTGATAGCCTCCATTGTACCTCTCACCTCTTCAACACCATCTTCTCCAAGCTGATTGGCTGTATAAGAGAAACACATAAATCACAAGGAAATCAAATTGTGATTATTTGAAGTCAATAAACAAGAGTCAGGCCTCAGTATTATAAATCATTCCTGTTTTTATTAATGATTTCTATAATAAAAACATTCAAATGTTACTTCTCTGTTTTAATCATTTCAAGTACAGATATCTATAGGTCTTTTTCAACAATTCTCTGAACTCTATAATGATGTCATGAGGCAAAACGGTGACAATATAAAACGGTTTTACTGATGAAGACAATACATTGAGGCAAAACGGTGACAATATAAAATGGTTTTACTGATGAAGACAATACATTGAGGCAAAACGGTGACAATATAAAATGGTTTTACTGATGAAGACAATACATTGAGGCAAAACGGTGACAATATAAAATGGTTTTACTGATGAAGACAATACATTGAGGCAAAACGGTGACAATATAAAATGGTTTTACTGATGAAGACAATACATTAAGGCAAAACGGTGACAATATAAAATGGTTTTACTGATGAAGACAATACATTGAATGTACAATATATGGAATGATACAATGTTCAAAATATCTACCATACATTAGTAAAATAAAGTTGAAATCACAAGAACATTTGCAGCAATTTTAACTTGATCTAGATTTATATGACAAAAAACCTTGACATTTTAAAAGACAAACAACCTTGACATTAACAGCCTTGACATTTTATATTACAAACAACCTAGACATATTTAAGTTAATACATGAAGTTTTATAACATAAATGAATTTATTGCTTGGAAATTTCTGTTCTCTGACATCACCAGTTATTATTTACTATATATAAATAAATGATATCAATATTTCAATGAAATTCCAAGAAAAAATTAAACTGAATGAGGACCTGTTCCATAAATCCCCCCAATAACCCTTTGATCCTTAATGATGCTTTTTTTAAAGTATATCAACATAGGGAAGGAAGTTTGGCAGAACTGGCTGGCATAAAACAGATATTACCATCATGTCTCAGATGTCTGATACTTCACCAACATGCCAAATTTCACAAATCAAACAAAATCTAATTTTCAACCAGTCAGATGCACTATTTGAAAGTCATTTTGGTGACAATCTCCCCAAATCAAAAAGCAAAAAATTTGTTAGCACATTTTGAAATCATCAGTATTAATCCCTAACAGTGTGGTGAAGACCCACCTCAATTTTGGGGGCTCATTACATACTGAAATGTTCCATTCGACCTCTTTAAGGGACAAGTTAGTGTAAGAACTTACAATCCAAATCTAAAATCTCCAAATTCACTTTGTTCTCCATTGCATCAGCAATCGCTGTGGCTCCTGCCTTGTTTATTTCATTCCCAGAGAAATTCACTTCCTATAAGGTTGAAATCAAATCATAGAAATGTTTATAACTCTGCAATCATATTTAACAGTCTGAATGATGAAGCATTATTTTAACGAAGCTAAATCCTCTTTTGATATTTAGTATAATTGTCTGAGTAATGTGTAAACATTTGGAAATAAAATATTGATTCATGAAAGGTTTTATGTGGTAAGCAGTTCTAGTTCATAGAATGTGACAACCAGAGCAAACACTTAATATCAGTCAAATCCATCAATTTTCAATAACGAAGCCACTTCTTCACTAACTCTAATGTAAGATGTTCTTTTGAAGATTAGCATAACAATTTCCATATTTCTTTATTAGTGTCATTTCTGTGTGGTGTCTCAATCCCAATATGAAACTTAGTCTTTAACTTTTCATTAAAAGATATGTCATGCACCAGTTTCTACAAAACCCAACAATTCTTATATCAAATGTAAGAACTTCAGAGAAATTGTTCAATTCTATCATTCATATATAATATATGTGTAACTAATAGCTACTACACAATCCATTATAATTAGTATGGATTGATTGTTTTAACTATGCTGCTCATTTTCCAAACAATTGATTACAATTCATCAACAATACAAATTACTACATTAGATATTCCAAGTTCTGCGCAGACCTGTCAACTTCGACTGAAAAATTTGAAATTTCATGACCTCAAGAACTTGCAACAAAGACTGGATATCTTTTTAAATCTAGAACCCTCCCAATAGTTGCAATTTTTCAGAATTTGACAAAAGTCCTAATTAAAACTTTTAAATTGATGCTCCATGTTTAATGGTAGCGATACTTTACCTTCAGACTAGTGTGACCATCAGCGATGGCGCTTGCCAACACTTTTGCTCCATCTGTCCGTACCAAACAGTCACCAAAATTTAATACTTCTAATTTCTGTACATGAGGTAGAACCTATAATATAAGTGAAAATACAAAAAATTGCTTTTCAAATTAAAAATTTCTGTCACAAATGAGTTGCTTCTCAAAGGCCTGTCATGCATACAGCATGAAACAAGAGGTCATTTTACAAATTAAGAACTGAAACATGGCTGGCAAATTAAGTTTTAGCTAATTACATAATTATACATAGTAAGAATTTATATCAAAATGGCAAGTTAAAATGAGGCTTCAAAAGGTCATGTGAAGAATTCGACTATTTCTAATCAAAACAAGGATGGGTGGTAGACATAACAGCGAGTGTTGACTAGCATTAGCAGGAAGCTGGTCATCTTAATCATTTTTTCTCTGAGAGTGTTATGGTTTTGTGAATTTTAAGTAATAACAATACTTGCCCAAAATCAAATGCATGGGAAAAAATAAGAAAATCTAACCATGTAGTCCTTATATTTCCATTCATAATACCATAATTTTGCATTGAAAGAAATATCCCAAAACAATCACAGGTATCCATGAACAGCGATTTCTGTGACAACTGAAATGTACAGGAGTTACCTACCTTTGCTATGCTTTTGGCACCTGCCACTGTGAATGTGTTGTCGTTTAGATTTAGTTTTTTGAGCCCTTTGTTATGAGCTATAGCATTAGCCAGGGCATTTATTCCAGGAGGGTTTATCCCGTTCTGTGGCATAGAAATCTCCTCCAGGGTGCCTATCGCCTATTAACAGATAGTGTTGAGATTTAAACATGTTCCCACTGTTTACTGGCAAAGCCTCTCGTATCAACTTATAGAAGGAAATTCTTTTCTAAGACAAATAATTAAATTCACTAGATATAATATACAAGAAGCTGTGTTCTATATATTGGCAGAAATACAGGTATTATATGATTTTTCATAGCTGATACACAATTAGCTTTGAACATTCAAATATCAAACTCATAGAGTAATTGGCTGTCATTTATAGGTCATGGCGTTGTCATTTATAGGTCATGGCAGATGAAACAGTTCGCAGCTAAACTTGTTCATTTCCAGTAACTGCAAATGTCAGTTTACTTTTATATCATAAATCATTTAGCATTCTTCATCATAACTTTTTAGCTGTAGTCATATGACAATCAGTCATTTCACTTATGACATACATGTTTCTTTCATCAACCCTTTCACATCAGTGTAAAACTTCAAAATGAGAAAAATTAGATTTATATTTGCTATAATCTTGCACTTAAATTATCCATCTGATTTCTGTAGTGCCTTTGTAACTTTATATACTGTAAAATCACGTTTTCTTGGGACTAAATTTTTGTGGGTTTTTCCCCAAAACATCACTCTTTTGTCTACAATTGATTTTCTAGCAACATAGATCTCTAGTGGTGGACATAAAAATCTGTAGATAAGAGTACCCATAAAATCAATGAAAACAAATTCCCCTTGATAATCAATGACTTTACAGAATGTGGGTTTCCTCTTGTAAAAATACCTTAAATGCTGCAGCCAGAGCAGTGGCGCCATCATTCTCCAGTCTGTTTCTTCCTGATATAAATACCTGTAAGGCCAGTGGTTTACCTGCAGCCGTGCTCGACTTGTGACAGTCCAGAAGGCATTGAGACAGCATCTGTTTAAACAGGTCAACCAACAGTGTTTCAACAGTCTCCAAACAGATTTAATGGACCTTAAGGGCATTTTATTACAGAATCTTCAGGATTTTTCTGGGGTCTCTCAGCAGCTGGTATACCGCCACATTACCAATGATATTTAGACTTTAGTTTTCTCAATTCTAAATCTTTTTCCCCCCAAGTCTGATGATGATACTTATTTAACCTTCGAAGTATGTTTTATGACTGAAATAAAATCTTCAGAAAGAGCAAAATGTGAACTTAAAGAAATGGTATGTAAGAGAAGAAAACAGGATCACCTTTCCGCCCCCAATGCCCAGACCATTGTTGTTGAGTTTTAATTCCTTCAGTGTGTAACAGCTTGGACTCTTCAACAGCTCTATCAGGCCGTCAACACCAGTCGGACCAAATGCATTGTCACTGAGGTCAAGCTCCACCAGTCCAGCACCCGCAGATATAATGGCTTTGCCTAAATGAATCTGAAAAACACACCGGCACCATTGAAATATCAGCTGCACTTGCACAAACCATCAGTAAAAACCAAACTGTGTCTTACCCTTCGTTGTGTCCAACGAAAATGTTCTCAATCTGGTAATACTATAAAGAAGTTTTGGTAAAACAAGAAAATTTGAAGAACTCTACTTTTGAGTCTGGTATTTATATGAACCTATGGGATATTAGCTGCAGCCTTCTCTGAATTTTTATTGGGTCTTATTTACCAGAACTCTTTGTTCAACTTTGTGCAACAAACCTTTAAACCAAAATTTAAAGGAAAATGCACTTATGTAATTTTACATAGGGAGAAACTATGACGATCTTTACTGATAGAGAATTTATATATCCAAATTGTTACCAAATGTTTTTAATTAATAAATTGAAAATTAAGTTTGAAACTTCAATAGACTTCATAAATAGCTGTTCCTCAATGAATTAAATTTACAATTCAAAACACCTGAAAAAGTTATGTGCAACATAAATAATTGTTTTGGGGTTTAAGATGCTGTAAGCAAACAGGAGAACACTCATTGAAACCATTATGTAAAGGATAAATTATTACGTATCCAGATATTATGTTATCTTTCAACACATGTATGTGCTCTATCAAACATCCATAGACTACATTAAGGTTTGTCCTGACTACTGAGGATGATTAATATTTATCAAAAACTTTTCTGTTATCAGTGTTACAATATACTGTATAATCATTAGGTAAGTTTTGATATGAACACATTATGTAATAACACCCATCTAGTTGTGATTGGATGGAGGCTCCTATTGTGATGATCATAACTTAATGGTGTCAAATGCATTGTGACCTTACCAAAAAACAGAAATGGAGACAGAATATCACCAACTTTGATTTCACTTTGAACTAATAAAATGCTATTTTCATGAATGAATGCTAAAATTTCCATGTTACATGGCAATAATAAATAGAATCATGTATTTGTTTCCAATTCATGTGATATATGAAACTTGTTATATTTTTTTCATTTTATGAAAGATTCAGACTCAAATCTTGTACAAAATGGAAATTTATGTAATGTTCTCTAGATCATATATCTATATTCTATTATTTCTACAATGTCCTTTAGACTTTATATCTATATTCTATTATTTTTATCTAGGTTTAAGTAATTTCTCACCAAAGCAGGAGGAATTTCTGTTTTCAGTCGGCCTGTAAACATGTCACTCCAGTGTGCTCTCTACAAAGAAACAAAAAAAAAATGGTCAATATTACACTATGCAACAGCTTAAGTGTTCGTGAAGATAAGAGATCTCTGACTGACTTATACGATATGCAACAAGTACCCTTATGTGTTTCAAAAAATAAAAATCAGCACTTCAAATCTGAGTATGGTGAAACCAAGGTCTAAAATATGTAATTCTTGAAACTTTGTAAGCTTCTATCAAATCTGTTTCTCATACTGTTGATAACATATTCCTCATACAGAACATTTTCACAACATCAGCAGGCTATGAACTATATTAAATTGATACATCTTGCATAATTGTCTTTCTTTGAAAATATGGCCAGGACATAAGAGATTAGATACATATTTCTACCTGAAATTCTGGATGCTTCTGTAAGGCTTTGGCGATGACTTCAGCAGCATCAGCTCCCAATGTGTTCCCTTCCATTCTCAGAGCTGTCATTGTTTTGCATTTTGCTATTTCGTCAGCTAATTCTTGGGCTAAATAAGAAAACATTGTCAAAAAAAAACTGATTGATAAGACTTGCTGCCAAGCTTTGTTCATAACATACACAACAAATGATACTACATTACATTTAACTAAAGATTGGTGACTAAATGACACAACACATGGTCAAAGACTTCTATGCTGTCCTTCTTTACCTCTAGTACTATTTGGACTAAACATCTCTTCCTTACATGCGTAGGGGATACAAGGTATTGAAAATCATATTTTTAATATCTGTATTAATCCAGCATTTGAGAGGTAATTACATATTTGAGTAATCAATTAGTTACTCAAATGCAGGGCCATGATGATCATTATGAAATAGAAACACAGGGATTTTTCTGTAAGCTATGGTTGTTTAAGGAGAGTGACAGTGGGGTCTCAAAATTTGAGTGAGACTTGTAAAAGCACAAGTCCAAGACTAAAAGTATCCTAGTTCCAAAAATCACCGAACACAGGAAGTTCTTTCAAACATTTGTAACAAAAAAAAGCATGATAGTTTTATATTGTTAGTCAAGAAACGAGATAAAAAAATTCCTGCTATTTCGTTCGTACAATAATATATTTCACATGTAAAACATTAGAATCTTGTGATATCTCCTAGACCTTAGTTTAGATAAGGACGAATTCGAAGGAGACAATGTATGGTCGTTCGTATTGAACCAACATTATGCATTATTCATCTTCAACAATTTTCCAAGTCAATTTGGAGAGGTCAATGTCTTCCTTCGCTGTTGTTACAGAGAAATGTACCGTTAAATCTCCACACTAAGAGACAATGAGGAGGGTAATACATTTTTACTATCGACATAGAGACATTACCGTCTTTCGCTGAGTTCAGTTTTAGTCCTCTGCCTTTAAAACTTAATTCGTATGTTTCATCTACTTTGGTTTTAGCTAGCTGCTCTGTTACTTGTGATATGTCGCGGGATGCCATTATGAGGCCGTTACTTCTGTTGGTATGCCAGTTGTTTTTTCACCATGCAACTTGTAGATTATGGCGGCGTTTTTGAACCTACTTCCGGTTCAGCAAGGGAGGTAATAAGCTTAATTGTGCATTAAAGATGCATACTCAGACAAATAGAAAAAAAATTAATTCGTCCATAAAGTGTTTTTCCAGGATAAGAAATTGACATAATTAAAATATCATACTTACAACTAATACAACTACACTCTCCTATCATTTTTCAGACAGTAAATGTTTTCAAAATGCAATAGAGCAAAATTCAAAATTGAATATATTGTCGCAATTTTTATTTTTATTTTTTTTAAATGAAACTATACCTATCTTACAATAATTGCAAAAAATGGTTATCCCAACTTATAGCAATTGTTCTTTATGGCCGTGATGAAAGCATGTGAGGGTCTTACTGTTGGACGAAACTTGAGTACCCGGAAAAACCTTAAATATTATATACCCTTTTAGTACGTGCGCGATCGGCAATTCTAACCCTGGCGATTAACACTGCGCCATCCGATCACATAGAGTACACTATTTATTTGTTGTGTGTGTATGATTTACTGAAAAATAGAAATCTTAAAAATAACACTTTCGAAATATTACGTGTTTTTCGTAAATCTCTAATACCTTTTCACTCAAGAAAATATCCTTTGAATGGATCCAATTTCATAAATGTAATTTCATAGCACAAAGCTCTAAAAAGACTTTTTGTAGGTTAACCCAATTTTGAAAGGATGTACAATTCTCAACATAGGCCAGTTGAACAGCTTGTTTCTTTCTCATATTCTTGTATCTATTAGGAATTAAAGAACGGTAACTCCAAAACGAATGTTTTATTTTGAATGTGTGGCTCGACGCCCCTGATAACCATGGCGGTTTATACAGTATTAATCAGAATGCTAAGAATGGACCGGTCATGATTGTGTCAAGACACTTTACTCTAATTGCTCTTGATGACAATATGATGCAACGTACCTCCCATATATTGTTCAATGAGGTTGTCATATGGTTCAAAATGACACTTGGTCAATAAATCAAAACAATAATATATCACGTTTGAAGAAAAACACTAACAAAAAAACCCATCGGAATGAAACCGTATAAGAGATCTTCTATATATTGATACGTTTAATTATGACAGTGGTTAGAACTATTATAATCATTTGATTGTAAAACAAATAATCACACCCCTTATAGATATTCTGAACCCTTTCACGTTTTTATTTGATTTAAGTCATGATTGAAAAATTACGGCTCTAAGTAAAGACATCAATTGTTTATATTCTTGTAGCTCTTCATATGATAAATATGATTGCTCTTTCTATCACATAACATGCTTTTCTTTTAGGTTAGCTAACCCGGTATATCTTTTCATTTCTGCTTAATTTTCTTTTCCAGTTTATGAATGTATGAGATTCCAATGAACTACAGACGTCCAACTATCACTACTGATCAATTCATATACAACACATCAAATTCTATTGATAAAATATCGATCGAAATTTCAGCCGGAAATGATTTTAAAAACCTTACTTTTTGTGGCAGTTTTTAGACAAACAGAGCTTGCTGTCATTTCAGAATTTGAGAGTTAAGCAAAATCTCTGCTAAAGATGTCGTCACCTTAACAGTACGGTAGTGATGGCGTGATATTTGTTAACAAGGAAACAGCGACGACATGAACACCACCAAAATGGCTATTCCATTTGACGAATCACACTAATGAATTATAAAATCTAGTTAAAAGCAAGTTATAACCGAAATCTGACAGCAGTTTGAACAGAGGAAGTATATTGTAAATATCAGCATGGACTGAACTGTCTTTTTAAGACATCTATGACCGTGGTAGATTACAGTTTAGATGTTTGCATTTGAAGTTTTGTCTTTTATATTGACCATGAATGCCATAACAAGAAAACATAATGTTACACATATATTATTAAGGAGGGAAACATTTAAAGCAACAGTAATACGATATACATATTTATGTAAGTACGAAAATAATATTTTGCCACGCGCTGTTAATCTTCTGAGCCAATGTGCTGTAACGTGTCTTTGAGACGTCGGGAAACCCAAACAAAACATTACGTGACACTATTATTCAAATATCCCGTTAAATGCCCTACCTTGACTTACACAAGAAAAGGGACACTGGGAAAGGTCTAGTTGTCAATTCTAAACTTAATTATCCTATTGTCCCATTTCACAGCGAGTGAGGCAATATTGCGTTACTAAAGCCCCGACATTACGTGTTTCAAAATGCCTTCTATTTCACTGGCGATACAGATTATTTACATTAAATCCCCTTGGTATCATGGTATATCTCTTTTATTTTCCTCTTTATACAAAGAATTGTTTCGCGGCCAGTTTCTCTTAAAGTATTGAACACCGATGGTATTTTACTTGCATTATATCTTATTACAGTTTTTAAATATTGACCTATAAAGAAGAACTCAGCTGGTTTTAGTCGCCAGACCAGTCCACCAGTTTTTAAGAGAATTGTAAACAACGGTGTGGACTTGACATTTCTCAAGTGACACTGTCTTATGGTCATTTGGAATATTTCTGTGATTATTATTCCGGACAGTGCTTAGTTTTAAGGAAACATCAAGTGGCAAAGAGCACACTACTCAAACATGTGTGACAAGGTAAGTTAAATTATCAATTATAAATCAATGAGAAATATTGTAATTTTAAAAACTTATTTCAATTTTATCACTAGTATCTTTATACAAAAACAACCATACAATAAAAGGATGTCAACATAATCATAATCCAAACTCAAAATCAATAAAACTTGGACAAAATATGAACAGAAGAAATATTTACACAGAGACTCATCAAAAAAGTACAAGGGAAATAAGACCAGGCCCCACTTGTATAAAACATCTCAACTTGAGATTTCCTCAAGTCGAGATTTTCCTCTGCCGATATCTCCTCAAAAACGGCTTGTATAAAATTTTCTCAAGGAACAAGAGAAAGTCCTCGGCTGGGATGTCCTGAAATTCCTTGAGGAATTTTCATACAAGACATTTTCAAGGAGATATTAGCTGAGGAAAATCTGGACTTGAGGAAATCTGAAATTGAGATATTTTATACAAGTGGGGCCAGGTACTTTGGAAGAGTAAATATATTATGTTTCGTCGACGACACCCGCCATGTAAACCTTGTCCAATCCAAGTAAGCAATGTCACGGTCTCAAATGAGAACTAGATACAAACCAATGGAGCTAACAGACAAACTCACGTCCACGATCGCTATACGATTTTGTCCTTTCAAAATGTAAATAGAAATGGTTTTATTATAACAAGTTAGTAGTTTTCATATCCAGTTTTCGTTAACTAGAATCAAACTCATTGATTCATCAATATGATGTCGAAGGGAACTGTCAAAATGTGGTCGCTTATAGAGGTAATTTTAACAGAATTGGTCTCTTAATGGAGGCAGTCTCTTAACAGATTATTAACAGTTGGGGTTTCTAAACATACGTAGTTACTCAACAGAGTTTGTCATTCAACAGAAGTGGTTTCTTAACAGAGTGGTTTCTCAACAGAGGTGGTCTCGTCAACGGAGGCGGTCTCTCAAAAGAGGTGGTGATTAACAGGGGAAGTTTCCTTAATAGAGATGGTCTCTTTGCTGATGTGGTCTTTTAAGATATATGGTCTCTTAGCAGAAGTGTTTTAATAGTGGTGGCCGCTTTACAGAAATGGTTTCCTCATAACGTATAAGCTGGGGTTAGAGGTGGCGGTCATAATAAATTACTACTTAAGAGTACGTGTCTTCCTAAGATTTGATCATAAATTATGTTTACAAATAAACTAACGGAAATGCATACCCTTATTTGGTAATAGTCACTCCTTATGTTAAAGACTTATCTGCGGAAACTCAACTCACTCCCACTGATCTGCCGCCATGTTATTCCCCGGAAAACCAGACTGATCCAACGGAGAAAAACCGAAGACTGTCCAATGCTACTTCCGCCTTTATCTATAGACAAATCGGACTCAGACGGTAAGTGTGAACCTTTGCTGCATGGGTACCACCTGTTTCCGGTATCTTCATTCGAAACACATCGATACTTTTCGGCGTGTTTTCCGAGATTGCCGAAAACAGCCAAAAATGACGAATACGAGGCTGATGGACTTTATGTTTAGAAAAATAAATTAATTTACTAAATATTTCCATAAATCAAACATAATGGAATGAATTAAACCATGAAATAGAACAAAAAGACATAAAAAAATAGCCAGGAGACAATGAATTGTGCCAAAGATAGGTTATGTAAAAGACATGAGTACTTGAATTACATTTTAAAATTCAGTATAAGTTTGACGCGTTAATGAATCGATAGCATTTGGTGTACAAATTACCCTCACGTAAACCACACACTCTAATTTCATGAGTCAGTGTTGAAATAACCAAGTGTTTGTTTGTTGTATGTATGTATGTGTGTGTGTGTGTGTGTGTGTGTGTGTGTGTGTGTGTGTGTGTGTGTGAAGACCTTAACGACAAGACAAATTGACCTTTATTTATAATGGGGAGTAAAGGTGTATAGACTAGCGTCTCACGTGCACCTGACAAACCAAACCTTCCGTCCCCAGCAACACAGGGCCATTCAATAGGTCGTTTTAATTGTTCTAAGTTATCTGTATAATGTGACTACGTAAAATGTTTATAAATTGACTATTATACGATATTCTTAGGTTTTGGTAATGTTAGAACCACACCGAAAGAGTTGAATGATGTCAAGCTCGGCTTGATACTTAGACTAAGTTTATAAGAAATTTTACTCAAATTTTCTTAGTTTCCACGGCATAAGAAGGGTAGGGGAGGAGGCAAGATTTCGAAAAACCTTATAACTGAACGCGCCGAGCGCATCACATGCTATTTCCATTTAATTAGCCAATAAGATACGCCACTAATCAACATATCAACATCTTCAATATATGGAATACCCCTCCCCGCATTTCTCCCCTCCTCCCCCTCCCAGTTTCTCACGCCATTGTTTTTATATATGATGATGATGTTTTTGTTGCAGTATCCACTATTTATTTAGTGAGTGAGTGAGTTAGTTAGTTAGTAAGTTAGTTAGTCTTTTTACTGTCGCTTTTTTGCTTATATTTTCAGAAGAGTTAAATTTTTCGGAGGATAGCGACACGTTGACCCCAGAGCCAAGACCCCCAGAACTGACAGGGATAAACGTTTACCTTGCTGCATGTAAAAAGTACAACCTCGATCCCATGTCTGCATTCCAAAGACAACTCAGTGGTGAAATAGTATCTTTAAGGAACCAGAACATACGTGGAAAAACAGCTAAGGCCATGGCTTTAGCATTGGTGGTGAATATGACCTCTGCTATTTACATATACCTTTAGTTGACCTTGGAATAATAATAATAATGATATACAACATTTATATAGCGCACTATCTATTTTGAAAAAATACTCTAATGCGCTTCACAATTACATAATAATCTTACTACAAAATTTACAGAACATGTATAACACAGTAATCAACATATGTAACACAGTAACCAAATCAAGTAAGTAGTGGTGAAAGTATGTATATACAGGACGTCTGCGTGAGAGTCTAAAATGCAGACGTAAACAGGTGGGTTTTAATATCCCTCTTGAATTTGGCCAGGGATTTTGACTTTCTAGTAGCAGATGGTAAGCTGTTCCACAAAGTGGCCGCTACCTTTCCAAAGCACCGGTTACCATAAGTCCCTCTTTCGAGTACGGGTAACTAGGCGTGCTGCGGTGTTCTGTACCCTCTGCAGGCGGCTCATTAGTGTATCAGATACACCAACGAGTAACGCGTTATCATAGTCTAACCTAGAAGTAACAAGAGAATGTACCAATGTCTTGCATGCATCTGTGGTGATGAACTGACGGATACCCCCAATGTTTCTGATTTGGTGATAACAGGAACTGGCAATTGAGTTTATCTGTTTCTCCATGTTCAGAGCGCTATCAAAGTCTACACCAAGGTTTCTCACAGCTTGGACGGCCTCAATAGTTGAATAAAGTGGAATAAAGTCCAGTTATTTAGTGGAAAGCTGATAAAACCAAATATGTTCAGTGTTTCATCTCTCGTGATGTTTAGGGAGTTTTTCCTTTAAAAAAATCATGTTTTTGAAAATTATATACATTTTCTAAGGTTGATACATGGACAGTATTGTTAACACAAATCACATTAGTAATCGAGAACCCGAATTTCAGAATGTACATGGTTTGTTATCAAGATTTTGCAGTATGTATGACGTAATGATGACTTTGAAACAACGCCGCAAATGTTTGAAGTTTTAAACCATTTTGAATATGCAAATAATTTGTGTTTAAGGCAAACCACAGTGTGAGCAGTATTGACCTGGGAGGTAGTGATCTAGGACAAACTGGCATCGCGTATTTAGCAGAGGTTTTAAATGACAACGCCAACATTACAGAAATGGTAAGAAAAAATGTTGCCATCTCAATAAATAAATGAATAAATAAGAAGACTAAGAACATCATATGGGTTATTATATATAGTGTAATTTAGGATTTTTCACGTTGAAACCTCTAATATGCGTACCATTTAAGACAATTATTACGATAAAGCCTTCAATTAATTATACATGAATTTCAAATTAAAGCGCAAACGAAATGCAGAAATATCCTTCATATAAACTAAGATAAGGATATATCTATGTATGCGGAAAACCTCTGTTTATCTATCTGATTAGTACATATGATGCAACTCTTAATGTAAAAACGGCGCTTAATGTAATAATCATTACAATAAGCGTTGCAACGGCTACGCTTAATGTAATAAGGTTATTTTTATTACATTAAGCGGTGCAATTGTTATGTCGTTTTGGATATTATTAGGGCCCCACATCGAGATGCGGTAGTCCTATAGGAATCACCCTGTTCGTCGGTCCGGCTGTCCAGCCGGATATACGGACGTCAGCACTTTTGTTTTCCGATGATAGCTTCAGTTATTATTAGATTAATGATTAGAATGACATCAAACCTTGCATGTGGCTATAAAAAAACAAACTTTACCTTATTTTCCCCAGTAATATATGTAACAAAACAAATACTTTCCTTTAATTAAAGAAAATAAAACTGACTGTTTTCAATTTAAATAAAAATTGAAAAAATCGGAAAATAAACAATGTGGGACCCACAATAATTCATACATTACCGCTCGTAGCGATGACATTGCGCGTGCGCATATTCCGCGTGTGTAAACATGGCAGACACAGTACAGACGTTCACCAGTCGCTCCCTTTTTTCCCAATCATGCATCAGGCCAGTTCTGAATTCTTACGTTATAATTGTGCGTCGTATCGTTTCTAAACTAATTATTCCTTCTAATAATTTCCCAAAAACTGAATGTTTATCACAGGAATACCTCAAGTCTACGGCAAGATTTCGCAAACAATGTTTGTAAACAAAAACTTACCGTAGACATATCTGCATGTGCTTCCTCTATAAGTATAAACCTCAACTCTCGCGAGATCAGGTCATGAACTTTCCGACGTGGTTCGGCAACAATCGTAATTTCGATGACGGCGTGTTTAAAATGGGGGTGTGTTTACAAATAGCGAGTTTAAACTGCTCATATGTCAATACTTTATGCAAAAAGTCATGGTAACTATTGTTTGAATAACTTGATTTTAACTACATCTTAATAGAATATCTCAATAATTATGTGTGATTCTACACTAAATTTTTGGTGAATGTTACGGCTATATTGGGGCTTTAAGCGTAACGGTCGCAACGCTTAATGTAACATATCAACATATCTGTCTTTCTTTTCAAGAACCTAAGTGGCAGTAAACTGATGTCACGTGGACTTCAAATAATAGCTGAGGTCATGAGGGAAAACAGAACGCTTCGTTCACTGGATTTGTCGGGTAAAGTTTTCTCCTGTGTATTGTATTCGTGGGAAACATTTTCAAAAAAAAAACTATAGTACTGTTTAATGCCAAAAAGTACATACTTCAAATTTAAGCATACAGAGAATATCCCCCAGCATGCATTGCGTCATTCCCAGTATTGCATTCTGAGTTAGATTGCCGTTTCGGATGAACGTCAGATATACACAAGGGTATTTTGTGATTAGGATTCAACATGACATTATATTGGAACTAACTACCGCTTACAGGATTTAACAAGAGGATAAAATGTTTCGATGGAGTACCTGTGCAGTTTTAATCGATATCAAACTAACAATATTCAGAAACATATTATACAGACAAATGATCAGTAATGTTGAAAGTTCATTTCCTCAGACAATGAAAATGAACAGATCTATATGTAACTCGCATCACACAGAAGTTTTAGGCAGTGTTTGCATATATACAGGATATAAAAGCGCCATGGATTGTCCTTTTTAAAATCTTATGATCCATCAAGTACTGATGATTTTGCAATACGACAAAAATACTAGGTTAGATTCTTAATGGTAAACATACTGTAAGAATACACAAGATACTAGTGAACATTTCAATACCAAATTTAAAAAGAATACAACAATATCGAAAACTAAGCTTTCAATAGAAGAAAACACCTGCATACAGAGGAATAGCAACATTGGAGAAACCGTTTCCTCACTCAATGGTGTCCGGGAACATTCGAATAACGTCACGGTTCAGAATATACAAATGCACTTGCTGTTCGGGAATTATCCGATTTATGAAAATTACGAGATTTATCGAATTATGGGACTAGTTCACCTCCCCATCTAGATTTTCTCACGACCACATTAGCCTTTCCTCATTCGCCTCCAAGACTTCAACATTTAGGCCCTTGGCATCCATGACGAGTCCTAGAAGGACGAAACAGCTGTATAATTCATTTTAGTTCATTGTTCACTAGTGTGTCTTTTACACAGTTTTTGTCCATGGCATGTTTAACTCACCATCAAATGTATGGAAACAGCGAATAAGGATTTTAGTGCAGTGTCATCATTATTTTAAGGTTATGTTATTTATAATACCCACAAGAATTTTTAATAAAGTATCTTAAATGTTTTTTTTAACTGTTTATTTTCAGATAATGGTTTTACAGAAAAAGATGCCACTTACTTGAAAGATCTATTGAAGGTAAAATTACTATTTTTCAGTCAGTGTTGTCTTGCTTGATATTTAATATATAATATTTACATTGAAATATACGAAATCAAATTATTTGTATTTCTCTGGAACAATGTTCTCGTCAGCGCTACATTTTCAAATTGAATTTTCATTGAAGGTTAAGTTTGTTCAAATTTATTTTCCAAAATTTGAAAGATTAATGTTAAATCAGATACGCATATCAAGTGAATAGCACAGAACTAAAACCACAAGTCCAATAATTAATTAAACTGAATAACACATTAATTTCGTCCTTCAAGCGTATGTATAAAGCAAAATGTTGTTTCAAAAGGTATATCTCTAGCGTAACTTTTGATTGATCCAAGAATTTTTCAATCATCGTAAGTAACTCGTACAGTATATATAAGTATATTTATTTTTCTTTAAAAAAGACTAGATTTATACAATAAGAAAATGGTGAGATACAAAATATAATCCGTTTTTACGTTTCAGTCTCGTTGTATTTTGCGTCATTTGAACCTGTCCAAGAATACATTTGAGGAGAGTGGAGGTGTCCTCATCGCCCAAGGATTGGGTATATATAGATTATAATACAAGGCTTGTCTGATTGGAACATTTTCTTATCATTGTACGTGTACATCTACATTAAGCTGAAATAACGAAGTAGTTAAATCAACATACAAATAAGATAAACCGAATAACACTACAAGAATATCGGAGAAAATACGGATGAGTTAACCGAATCTTCATTCAAACACAAATGCGAGGAAACTGCGGTAAATATGAACAGAAGGCACATTTACTGACTTCTGAAAAAGTGCTTGAAGAATAAGATAAAATGTTTCAGAAGGGTAAGCGTCTTCTACTTCATTCACAACACATGCCGTTTAAATTTTGGTTAATCGAAGTAAGTAATGTAACGTTCCGAAATGAGAACAATGTCTACAGCAGCTAAATCACAAGGCATCAAACAAGGTACAATGACTAAGACTATGGAAATAAAGCCCATGATAAAATTTTATCATTATTTGCATCAGATAATTGCATTTTCTTAAGGCGATCATCATGAAAACATTTAAAAATTTATTACGTCATCCCAGCTATTTAAAACATATCGTCAGTTTCAGCAGAATAGTGACTATGAAATATCGAAAGGTACTTCATCAACATATAGATAATTGTAGTCACAGCAAAGAGGACAAGAAGAAAATGGTAGAAACAAATAGCAAGATCTCGTAATACGAACACAGAGGAATTTCAAGAAAACTATCGAAAATAAAATGTTTTCTGTTCCTTGTACATACTAGTATTGTTCATCAACCGCATATCACTCAGCAATTAAGAAGATAGATAAAACTTTTCTAATCTTTAGCTGAAAATACAACACTAAGAGTGCTGAACCTCAGTTGGAACCATTTGAGAGGAAAGGGAGCGTCTGCCATTGGTATCAGTCTAACGGTAGGTCCAAAATATTCGTAATATCAAAACATTTCATTACAGGTATGCCTTTCTGTATTTGTATCATTTAAGGATAAATTGACAGTTAAGTATTTATTTCTTAAAGAAGTACTTTGAATAATCTACATTCGATCAACTTTCTGCTGATGAAACTGAACTTAAAAGAAACCTATTCACCGCGTAACAATTTTTAGCGGTAGTTTCGTATTGAACATTAGAAAACCATGGAAGATTAGATGAGGGGGATCATTCCCAAAGTAAGGTCACTGTAAGTAGAAGTAGAAATCATTGACGGAGAAGCTTGAGTAAAGGAATAGACTATATGTTATACATCGGTATTCAATATCTCCAATTGTTCATATACTACCATACATTAGCAGTGTATCAAATTAAGGAACTTTCAAACAGTTTCTATAAGATGTTTTTTATTGGTATAGACTAACGATATGATAGAAGTCCTAGATATTTCATGGAATGGTTTTGACATGTATGCCTGCCATAGTCTGGGACAAGGTCTGGACAAGAACTCGTCTCTCCGGGAATTAGACATAAGCTCGAATAGAATAAGTCCCAGCGGCATAGCAAAGGTTCTGGAGGGACTCGAACACAACACAACGTTGACAATCCTAAAGGTTAGTCATAGATTAAGGTATACAATGCTATATAAAGGTGATTTATTTGTGGAACGTGTTAAATTTTACATAATTTACATACGTGTACATAATGAAAGAACTGCACACCAAAGTAACATCAGCAATTGGAGAGACACCAAACTATTTTTATGATGTGTATATTAGAAGGAACATGTTCATTTGTGTGTATGTGTTTCAGCTTGCATGCAATCCGTTGGGTCCAGAGGGAGCTCTGGCGGTGTTGAAAGCTTCATTGAACTCTCGCAATATCTCGGAGTTAGATTTTGGGGTAAATTTATCTTAATTGTCAATACACTTACTTCAAGACCTTAGCTCATAATGAAACACCAAACAGAACCAATTTCGTTTTATTAAGAAATAGAGAGAGAAATGTCATGTGTACAAGTCGGTTAGAGTTTGTAGTTTAAGCTTTGACGATTGAGATTTCTTTTTTTTCAATTTTTATTTATTTATTTATTCATCTATTTTTAACTTTTAAAAGAATACGAATTCGAGTGAAAGAAATCCCAACTACTACAAGCAGTGGTTGTTTAACCTTAATGTATTTTTCACCTTTTGGTGATCTTAGTGATTGTTTTCTTATTTCAGAACCAACCGGTGTCAGTGGAATTTGTAGACCTTTTAACAAAATTCCAATTTCACCGGGATGTTAAAGTTTATTACGGAAAAGTACTCTGCAAGGTCAAACCGGAAGTATGTGACGATACCATGTATATTCCGGGGAACCCCCTTATGATACTCTTTGAATTTATCAGGATGAAGAAACTGGACATCCTTGATGTGTTTAAAACCCTTGATGCCGATAGAGATCATTCAATAACATGGGGAGAATTCCGAATTGGAATTAAGGTATTACGCTTCCTGATTTAGCTGTTTTCAATACAGCCAGTGAGGATAACACAAAAATGTCAGTGATGAAAACACTTCAGTAGTTTCAAAATTGTTTTCTGAAGAAATAATAAACAATGAGAACGAAATTCATTGTATTCAAATTGATAGTACACCCAAATGAATACCACACTTCACTCCTAATGTCAATATGTCCAATCTCCAAACAAGATTATGTTTTCATTTCCAGAAAAGTCATATACCCGTGCGATCCAGAGACCTAGAACAGCTGATTAGAACAATGGACCTAAATAAGGACGGGGAAATCAGCTTCAGGTATCCTATTTATCATCAATATTAGGTGAAAATTGTTCATTGGAACTCCAGTGTATTTTAGGACTGGTGTAAACTTCGGACAAGCTTTAGTCGCTTTGTCTATTCATTAAATTATATCTTCCAGTCACTGTAGAAAATAAAACGTTTTCGATGTTGTATCACATGCATTCTTTCATATTTGAACGTAATGTTAATTGTAGAATAGTTTGAAGGTAACGTCTTGATAGATAGACAACACATCTATAAATACAGCAAAATACCGGTACATTGCGGCATTCTCTACATAAAAATGCCTGCTGTATTTGTTTCAGTGAGCTGGTCGTTGCACAAAAGTCGCACAACACTCGAGCAGAGAAATTATTGGCCGTAAGTCAGGATGCGTTCTACGACAGTACCATTGGACAAATTCATCGTGATCTCCAGACGTTTTGTAACGATACAAATGTCTTCCTAAAACGATATAAACTACTAGAATAACAGGATTAAGTTTCACCTGTAACGCGACTTCGACAAGAAGGCCATCATTTTGTCATTTGCAATAGTGACAACAGACACTGATCCGAAAATTGACTTGGTGAAGTGCCGTTTTCCCAGCAATTCGATGGCAGAGGATTATCCTTACTTTGTATGGTCATGAAGCGACATCAACGTTGTAACGTACGATAACAAAGCTTACAACAAAAATAACATTGCATGTAATGCTTTCTAAAACTACATATAGGACCGCAAATCTACATATATTAAAATCGTTTATCATTTTACATTTCAAAACTTCGCTTCTGTTTATATTGAAAATAGTGTGTTGTATTGGTTACAAATTATAGAGACCGGAATTTTATGGCGATCTTACAATTCCATCTCGTCAATCGCAGATCACTGAAAATGTATACAAAAGCAAAAGCTTGTGTTTTCAGATTAAGTTTTTGTTTGCGGGCTTTAAAACATGTTTGAAGCAAAAACGATGCCGTTTTCTTGGAAGTCATCATGAACTATCGTGGTTTTTTTGTACTTATTTTGTCTTAAAATTATCCAGTTTCACAATTTTAATAACATCCTCGAAAATACATAAAAAATAAATCCCTTTCGAAAGAAAGAAAATGTAATAATTAACGGGAAATATAATCAAAATGTAAGAAAGATGAAATTTTATAAAAAGGACTCGATTGACATTGCCTCAAATTTGACTCTAAGTTGAGCATTCCCCCATGTGACGAAGGTTTGGATTCAGTTTCCAGGATAAGACATATTATTGTAGTAAATATGTACTTTCTATCTGAAGTATTTTTGATTACTATAAACAAGTCTACTTTTGTTTTCTTAATTTTCACACATCGTGAAGTATCAAGAATATCTATCGCAGATCCAAATTAGAATCAGATTAAGCTAGGAAGAAAATAAACTTAGATATTATAAGAGTTCCAGGAATAAAGACCAGGCGTTCTAGAAGGGTAAATATCTTCTTGAGAATGTCGGGCTACTAAAAATTAAATTTCAAACCATCGTTATATCATGCTCTTAAAATAGATTGACAATAAAACGACAAGGCATACGGATTTATGTAAAGTATTTATCATATCTTCGAGTTGTTTTCTAACAAAACAAAACAAAAATGAAAATCAGCTTACGTATATTTACTCTTCGATGGCAACAGTGTCCAATAGATACTTAAAAAAACTGACACCATTTTTTTAAAATAATATTCGTTATTGGGCGATTCCTAAAGTGACCATTTGGCGTTTCTGGATTATCATTGTCACAATCATGTCCTCGATCAGTATTTACTTGTAACATAATTTGAAAAATAGGCCCTTCGCCATTTTCTATGTGTTCACATTTGTAATGGATGGATCGCTTTGGATTGAACAATTAAGCGGAAATAAAGACCCGTAATTAATAACTACGTGTTAATATATCACTGAACTAAGGATTTAGAATGGCTGGTATCGGAATGTGTGTGTGTGTGTGTGTGTGTGTGTGTGTGTGTGTGTGTGTGTGTGTGTGTGTGTGTGTGTGTGTGTGTGTGTGTGTGTGTGTGTGTGTGTGTGTGTGTGTGTGTGTGTGTGTGTGTGTGTGTGTGTGTGTGTGTGTGTGTGTGTGTGTGTGTGTGTGTGTGTGTGTGTGTGTGTGTGTGTGTGTGTGAGGCGCGTGTGTGTGTTTGTGTGTGTGTGTGTTTGTGTGTGTGCGGATAATAAATATTAGAACCACAACCTGGGTCTTAAAATTGAAAGCCTTGTGATTTTAATGAGTGATTTAAAGCTTAGAAAAATGCCATGAAAATCTTAACGAGTTTTTTTCATTTCATTTTTCATTTCATGTGCATTGTTTTCAAATAATTATTGTTGACTCTTTACCCATACAGTTTGAGTTTGAATTTCATCTGTGAAAAGCATTTGAAATAATTTTTGAGTTTGTCAGGTACTGAGCAGATCAAGTTAGAAAAAAAGCTACTATACATTGCTCAGTTTATTAGCTCCGGATCAACGATTTTATTACGAAGGAAGATTAACCAATCTCAATGTTTTGTATACAATCAACATGGGTTTGTATTGAGATCGCTATGAGACTATGTGTATTGTTTTTAATCCATTAATCCTCTGGTCAGCGGCTTGTCAGTCCACTCCTTAGTACGGTGATTAGGTACAGAGAAAACTGTAAAAATAAGGAACATTTGTATTGGTTTTATAGAAACTGGACATCAGTGTGGATGGTCCACATATCGACGTGAGATATTGTATCGGGACGTAGTGTACAGCTAGTTGAAATAGATATGCTATTGATCTTAAAGAGTGGATTTAGGAATGAAAGCGGCCATGTTACCAGGACAGAAAAAAGTGAGCACACGTTGAACGCCTCACGTGAACAAATGACAATTCCAGTACAGCATCTATGAAAATTTCAATGACAATTGTGATCGATATTCAAGATCGATTACGATGATATTGATGTAGGAAAGTTTCTGGAGGACAAATCTATCAATTATTTGTGGACATATTGACTAAGGTGTTAAATTTTAGTTAAGTTACCTGTACAAGTGACCGTTAAGATGGACACTATGGAGCTTAGACAGGGCTCGGTGATGTCCGACATCACCAACAAGGCCAAAACGTCACAGGTGAGTTTTGTATGTGCACGTATATAAAGTAACTATATCAAGTCTAACACTGTTCATATAGGTCATCATTAAATACAAACCTTCTTGGTCTCATTATAAAGTCATATTGGTACAAAGTATGTTTATTGTTTTCGAGATTTTACATCTGTCAACATTGCTTTTTATACAGCATTAATTATCGTTCAGTTGATTTTAACAACTGAAAATCATTTAAATTGCAATAACAAACAAATTACATGTTGATTTAGAGATTCGGCAATACGCTTTCAGCATACTCTTATCCTACTAATACATTTGAATGGGGAATAAGACTATAAAGCGAAAACCTCGAAAATGTCGAGTGATTTGATGGTGAAATTGATGATGCACTCGCAACTCTTTGACAACGTTTGTTTTCCCCGGGCACTCCGGTTTCCTCGGTCTTTTCGGAGGTTATTCTCACTCTTCCATTTAGGGCAACAAGAGTAATTGATGTGTGTTTGATAATTTTGTTTCACGAGATTTGTTATGATGTCACGACAAAAATTGAAAGTGACTTTCACCTCATCACGAAGAACCGGTCATGAATCAATAAACATAGAAATCGATCTGGCGATTTGGCAATAACCTAGACCCACACACTGAGGATATCATATCACAATATTTCAATCCGTACTCTACCATTTCAGAGGAGAACATCACTTATGATGAGAAATAACAACAGCACGAGCCTAGCGGCGACAAGTGTCAAGGCACAGGCCTTAGCTAATAAATATCGTCTCTCCAAGACTCCCAATAAACGAGAACCCCAAACTAAAGTCCTTAGGATCAAAAAGCTGAACGAGATGCACGCGACAGGCGCTTTCGATGTCGAGGAAGAGACAATAGAGAAAGCGAGAATACGAAAACAATCAGAAAGGACTATTGGCCAGGGTATCAACCTGGATGAGTTCGATGACTTTGATTTCGACGGTAGGTAATTCGCTCTACAGACGTTCACTCACAAGATATCTTCGTAGTACATGTATTTTCAAAGTTTTGGAAGACAAATGTATAAGTATAAATGTATACATAGATTCACTGAATTTCAGTATCGTTAGGTTTATCTGTGAATTTTAGACCGGCAACAGCGGTAGTTGTTGAGAGTATCAGATAATCTCAATTGGATTCCGGTCACGTGAGCCGTCACCTGCTGGTTGGCACCAATAATGTTCATATGATTCGAACCTGAACATTGTAACTCGTGTTGATTTGTAAAATGAAAGGAAAGACTTCTGTCTGCTGTAGATAGACAAAGAACCTTTTCATAAGATTTGTTTTTTTTTTAAGTTCGGGAAAATGCCTTTCTGCAATTCTTGTGGTAAAATAGAACTCATTTAAGTTTGAGATGTGCATTAGTTTTGTTTTTCACTTTCTGTTTGATAAATAATTAGATATGTCAATTTAACTCGTCACAGAGGAGGAAGAGTATTATTATGTGGAAAACAATGACGAGGATGCCAGCCAGAAAATTTACACTGAAGCATGCAAAGAATTTGGGGCAAAGTACATGAAATTGATTTACAATCAACTCGCAAAAGAAACATTAAGTTTACTAAGCGTGGTGCTAAGAACAACCGACAGCAAAGCCTTCGCAACGGCCCTGGTGGTAAGTCTAAAAATAAAAAAAAAAAAAAAAAAAAAAAAAAAATAAAATAAAAAAAAAAAAAAAACAAAAAAAAACAAAAAAAAAACAAAAAAAAATTTCTAAAAATGGTTGATATATATATAATTATTTAAAAGCATTGTTATGATTGTAACGATTTCAGAATGATATACATACGGCATAGTCGATTTCATCGATTACCAATGTAAAACAAAAACATTTATCCAATGGATAAGGATACTACATCAATACAAATGAATACATTCATTTTTTGTGTGTATATATAGAAATTTTATCGTTTTTTCATAAAGGTCTGATAGTTATAAAAATGAAATATCGACCATTTCCAGAAAAACTCGTCGATTGACACCCTTGTTTTGGAGAATAACAGAATTGGAGGCCGAGGGGCAAGATATTTTGCCGAGGTGCTGACACGGAATCTCTATCTGACAGACGTGGTAAGCTGGTTATAACAAAATTATTGTAATTTTGATTCATTTGAATAATGAAACGGTTTATAATATGCTCATGTACTTGACATTCTTCCAAGTTATCAGATATATGAGGCTAGTTCAGCTCCCCATCTATAGTTTGCTTTTTCCTTCGATGAAATTTCATTTCACTAAGTCGCCTCCTAGTTTCGAAATCTGGGCCCTTGGCATAACCGAATTTGTATTGGTTTTTGTATATAATCTCAGACAGCCAGTTGCGTCCCCTTGTTTGATAGCAGGCGAATTCTTCTTGTCACTTACCTTAGTGTGACTTTTAAGCCTTTTTCTTTCGCCATTTAATCTTTAGACTTCGGCCCTTATTGTCATCTGAAACTCTTCGTTTGTTGTGGATTTTAACTGCTTACCCATTAAATTTCCAACAGAAAATCGTGGAGAACCACCTAGGTTCGGAAGGTGCCGAAGCGATTTGTAAAGCCCTTTGTCACAACAACTACGTACGTCGACTTGATCTCTCAGGTACTAATACAAATTGTCTATTTCTGTAGCCTGGTTTCTAAAAGCCATGAAACAATGTAATGATACACAGGTAACAGAAATCATTTGTGGTTAGCAATATATAATAAACTACTGCGAAATCGTGAATTTCGTGGGTTTTTATTTTTGTCGAAAATGTTATTACTGCGATTAATTCACAAATATTTATGTGCACATAAAAAATGACATGAATTAAAGTACTAGTGGATTTTGTTATGGAAATTGATTCACAAAATCAATTGTCAACGAAACTATATATTATCGTAAAATAACGAAACTGGATCCACACGAAGTAAACACTTCATTTACATTTTATTTTACAGTTTGATGGTTTTCAAGCTTCGTTTTTGAAGGTTGCCTTTCCCCCTTTAAATCTGTCCTATTCGGCATTTCAGTGAACTCAATAACAATCTGTATGAATTAATTCGTGTGCGATTTATTTTCATAATCGCCGCCAATAAAGACAACATCGATAATGGTACGATATAAGTATGATAAGTTTCTCGAAAGCTAAACGCTGAGAAGTAAAACAAGGATTAGAAACAACGATAATAGGATAGTATATGTATAGTTTGTTTCTCGAAAGCTAACCGCTGAGAAGTAAGACAAGGATAAGAAACAACGATAATAGGATAGTATATGTATAGTCTGTTTCTCAAAAGCTAATCGCCGCGAACTCAGTGATTATATAAGCAACGTATAGTATGATACAGTCTGTATCGCGTATGTTAATCACCGCGAATATCTCAGAAGTCAGTGCACACGAAAGAAAGTTGATTAGAAAATATTTTGCTCTACCGATATTTTATTTTAGACAGGTTTCTATGACATGATCTTCTTAACGTGTTTCTTCTTCAAAATAATGATAAAAACGTGTTTTGTAGGAAATGGCTTCGTTGAAGATGATGCACTATTTTTCAAGGATATGTTAGACGTGAGTACACGCAGAAACCCAGTGCTTACTTGCATGGCACTTAAATTCTAGACAGAAGTCGATGTTCTCTCTTTAAAAGTGTTAGTTTTTATGAAACACCATGATATATAATTTAAAAAAAAAACTCTTGTTTTCATAAGTCGTTGGTTAGATTTCAGCATTTATTGAAAAGGTGACAAATTGTAAATGGTACATCATTCGTGGCTGTCACATAGCATTCCCATTGACTGTTGCGGTCTTAAATGGTATTCAGAACACTGAATTTCTTGGTTTCAATAAATCATTTGTTTTCATGCTTCCTCTTAATTTGTTAATTCATATATAAAGGGTTTAAAATCTGACATGATTTGAATTCGCGTTTACTTATAACTGAAAACCATTTTCTAAATCCACCAAATTTATGCCTCCACGAATAATTTCATTTTACAGTATAATTCGTTTTTTAAACTTCAGGAGAACCATGCTTTACGGGAGCTGTACCTTGGTCACAATGGGTTCCGGGAGAGGGGCGGTGAGGTGTTTGCTGACGGACTTGGTATGTTGTCTTTATAAGAACAAAATTCATTTGGACATATATTCATTAACAGCATAAATAATGGCGTTTATGTTTAACAAATGTTTATTGTTTTATAAAAAAAATATGTTTATCATTAAAAATAAACATAAACAATACAGAAATAACTTTAAATTTAGTCAAAAATACCATTTGAAAAATGCCATTTTACTTTTTTGGACAGTACATGTAGTTTCAATTATAGTGCTAGCAACATATATGATGTCTCACTTATACACAGCTACCAACGATTTCCTCAGAGTGCTCGACCTTAGTTGGAATCATCTGCGTATGGGCGGAGCGACAGCAATAGGAAAAGCACTCCAGGTAAGTGTGTTTGATGTCTGTATATTGACTCCGCGTACTGTGGCTTTAGAATACCCTGCTTGTTTGTGGTTTTGTGGACAGCCAGGTTCATCTAAGGAAGAGGTCTCTTTGTAGTTGGTCGTTTCTACGTCACTGAACGTAACGTTGTCATAGTTAATTGTATGTGTATTAAACTCTCAAGACTCCCATGCTTGCACTTCTGGTTTGGGATTACACTATTGAAAACATATAATTTTGAATAAAGTTTGGGGATTAGGTGTGAATAGATGATGATGAGGCAAAACACTAATAATAATAAACAGCTCTGTTGTTGATCAGTGTATGATGTGATAATGAGGATGAAAGGTTGATGATGAAGTGGTGATGATGATATGATGATTACAATGCTGAATATGTGTTACTGCTGATGATGATATGATAGTGATGATGATGATGATGATGACGATATGGTGATGATCATGATAATGAAGATGATGATGATGATCATGATGATGATGATGATGATGATGACGATGATGATGATGATGATGATGATGATGATGATGATGATGATGATGATGATGATGATGATGATGATGACAGCAGTCATTGAGTTTGTATTATTATTGGGGCTTGTGAATGAAACACAGTAGTACATTGTATGTCATGTCAGCAAAGAGGAAAGAGTAGGAAATAATGAGTGCATGTTTTGAGTGAGTGTACATGGGTGTAGTGTGATGTTTGCCAGGGTGTGTATGTGTATGTGAGTCTAGTATATATCGTGTGTTGCATACCTTTGTAAAATCTTGAAAAACAAAATAAAAAAAAAACTCTCAAGACTAACTTATTCCGTGAGGTAAAATTGTAAGTTCTCTACCTGTGTTTGCAAACATTTTGATGGAAGCTGGTTGACGGAATGTCCTATATTGTGATTATGACATTGAGCAAGACACTATATCCCTATTGTTATCGATAGAATGTAGCAAATTTATGGGAAAAGAAATATGTACGCCTCTTGAAGGAAACCATGCTAAAAGCACATTTTTCCAGGTAAACCGTCATTTGGAAAAGCTCGACATTTCATGGAACGGTTTCCACGTACGAGGTGCCATCACAATGAGCAAGGCGCTTGAGACTAACCAAGCTCTCTCGTATCTCGACATAAGTTGCAATCGTCTTACAGACGCTTGTATCACGTGTCTGTTACAAGGACTAAAAGACAATTCTACGCTACGAGTTCTACGGGTAAGTTCTGTTGATGTGACTTTTCTTTATATCAATGTTTCAAAGTGACCATATGACTATTAAACATGTACGACTTCAAACCCATCAGCACAACTGGCTTCTGGTTGTCCGACAATTTAGAATAAAATTGAGCATTGTGACCATATTCTTTGAACTGATTGCTTGAAAGCCGTAATCTAGTGATATAAAAATCACATAGCATAGCGTGGACGTTGAAGTATGTAAAAACATGAATTGATTTGTTTTTATTTTATTTTGTATGGAGGTAGAGGATAATCATTTATACAGAATATAAATGCATGTTTTGTGTTTTGTTTTTGTTTGTTTGTTGTTTTTTTTATTACTATTCTTGTTTTATATGATTTTGTCTCACCAGCTTTTCTTTTGCGGTTCTGGTCATTCTAGTTTTAAAAGGATACTCATAATTATCATGATACCTCTCTAAAGCCAAAAAAATATATCAATTTAAACCGTTTGAGGGCCTCAAATAAAAATCTTCACCGTACCTGCCCTGTGCTGTATACAGTCATAGGTTTTGTTGTTGTTTATATCACTTTTAGTGTTATATATAACACCTTGATACAGTTGTTTTTCTTTTTGTTTTTTTTTTCCAGATGGCTAAAAATCCCATGTTCCCAGATAGTGCACAAAAAATCCTGGAGTGTGTCCAAGAAAATCCAAACATAGGATTGGATCTGATTGATCTCGGGGTCAGTAACCAAAAATGATCCAACAAAACAAGTTGTCCGTCAAGGCACTAAATACCTTTAGACATTTTTATTCCCTCAGTGATCATGGTTTCTGATTTATAAATATTTTACTAACACGATATACACTAATTTTTTCGGGGAATTAAATTTGGGCGTTTTATCTAAAGACAATGCTATACCATACCAAATTTTGAAGGTAGGAATATGTCATTTATGTGAATTGAATTCTAGCTGGGTTTATCTCGATATCATCGACTGATTTTAGGTACACTTTCTTCAAGCAATACTTTCTTACGTATACTAAGACATGGTCATGGTTGTCTGTTTGACGAGATAAGTTGTATAAATAAATGTACACGTGTTCAACGTGACGTTATAATGTTACGCTTATGAAACCCCAAAAGTTATCTCGCTGACCTTGACATTGACATTTGAAAACAAGATGTATTTATGAAACATTATGCCTCCGGTTTCAGTAACATCCCGAAGTGTAACATAAAAACGACAATGAGGAAGGCGTGTGACAATTGCATGCACACTTTGTGAAATACTTAAATCCTACAGTGCAATAGTAAAGGTCAATGTTTATATTTTTCCAAATGTCGGTTTAAGGTCATGATCAAGGTCAAATTTTGGAAATGTCGTGTCACAATGAACACACATGCTTAATATGAATGCCCTTCTTCTTACGGTGCAATAGTTATAGGCAATGTTAAAGTTGGCAACAAAAAAAAGACAGCACAAAAACAATATGTCCCTAACGTTCGATCCGGGGGCATGAACAATACACAATTAATTCACCATTCGTTATGTATAAATCTAACAGGACCAGAGTGTGACGGAAAAATTCTACGAGATTCTGTCCGATCTAACTGAGAAGCGACAAGGATTTAAGGTGAAGTATGGTGTAGTATGGAAAGCCGACAGGGAGGTCCTAGGTAAACAGGATGACGATGAGGACGAGGACGATCTGATAAATGAAGACCCTCTTCTCGTTCTGATGGAATATGCTCGCATGGAGAACATATCACTTGTGGAACTCTTCATCAAACTTGACAGCGATAAAAGTGGGTCATTATCTCGAGAGGAGTTCTTGGACGGTTTAGAGGTGTGTTTAATATTACCAATCAGTATTGTATAATCAAATAATGTTACAAAGTAAAAGGAAGCTAACATGCCACACATAACACACAAACAATCACATTGTGACTTTTAAATTCTTTTGAAATACAACTGAACCTTCAAAATGTCCACAAACGCAAATTTCTATTACTTTGCAATATGAATAGACAAATAATATACCCTCAAAATGGCAAGTTATATTTTTTATTCTTTTTGCCCTCGTGTTAATGATTTTGTGCTTGGATCAAGATTTGTTAACCTTGCGATATTTTCGTGGTGTTACTGTATCAGAAAATGAAAGAAAGCATGGAAAGGAACTAGTATTTGAAGGGCTTTACTTTCTCAATGAATGAAGATTTTCAGAAATGGCTCTTATGTTTTGTTTGTTTTATTTCATTTTTATTTTTACAGCAAGTCAACATCCCTATGCGTAGAAGGGCTTTGAATAAATTAATCGACAAGATGGACCAAGACGGAGATGGAGAAATTGATTTCGAGTAATGAAACAATTTTTAAATCTCGCCTCCTTAATGAAATACTTCGTATATTAAAGTTAAGCATGAAGTAAACTTGTTTTTTAATAATTATTTAAATATATATTAATTATTTCCTCTCATTGAGTGTCTAATTAAAGAGACAAACTTAGGAGTTAAAATTGAAAATTAAGACATGATTCAGCTGTATTCGCTACTGGTAACTGCCTTTAAAATCTAATATATATATCAATTTTATCTAAGGTTTTTCGAATATCATTAAAATCATGATATCTACGCTAACCTTTTTATATTTCAGCGAGCTGATGAGTGCACATGAAGAACACAAAGAAAAACTCAAAGAATATTTACGAGGGGATGTCCCTTTGGACGAAACGGAAATCGGACGGATAGACAAATCTCTGCGAAATGTCATGAACAAACGGTATATTATGCACAAGTTTTAATCCAAGTGTTTTTGAGAGCGCTGAGACGTTTCAATCCCTAGGCTCACAGAATCAATTTGTGCAATTCTTCGTTCAAATGGATCACCCAAATCATTGCAGGACGCATTCATATTAAATTTAATCTAATTCATGTCATTTTAGTTTGTGTTTTCTTTTCTATTTTTTGTTTAATCCATTTTACATGTTTGTTTTACAATTTGTCAATATTGACTACTGTTTGTCATTTAATCCACATCGAGGCTGCACGATGTCACGTGTTTTATTCACATATTTGAGAGGAAAAAATCACATTGAACATTGAACATTCTGTATGATAACACTTGTTTCTGGAATATCTAAAACCTCAAACTACACGATACACTAAGTCACGACAGTCACCATTGATTGGTGCCCACGGGAGATGTTGAATTAATGCACCATGGAAACCTTGGACACACGTCACAACAAAATGGTGTTACCGGTGTGTTTTAACATCTGTACAACAATCCAGGTAAGTTTCATTCTCAATCGATCTTTCCAGCTTTTATGTATACAATAAATAACTACAAGAAAAAGTACACACGTTGGACATCAAATAACATTTCATCACAAAGAATGCAGTATCTTTTTAAAACTATATAAGAAAAACAGAAAGAATTTGTTTTTCTCTTTAGAGTAACATATTCGCCACATGTTAAATCTATGGTTGTACTCCGATATCTCCATTCACAGGTATTATAAGACGCCATATCGTTTTTCTGATCTTCAGGTCATACGACAAAAGGCGGTGTTCCACGACCCCTGGCGGTAGAAGGAGGTTCGCCAATGACATCAATATCGACGACTGGTTTATTCAAGAACAAGCACATAACGAGAAAGAATTTCGAGACGTCATTTCCCGTAATTATCCTCGCTCTGCGCAGGCGCGAGCATGGGTCCAGAAGCTTCTTATTCCTGATGATTCGAACCCTTCTGCGTTTTCTGCTGATAATAATGCGAACACGGTACCCTCTGTAACGACCAATGAAAGCAACGAAAACAACAACGGAAATGACGTCAGTGATCAGTCATAGATCGTAAAACCATGATCAAGCACACTAAGACAGCGTTTGTAGTCAGTGTTTTTTATGCTCCGAATTTTTCGTCGGAAACATTCAAATTTGTAATGTCAATTTTTGATTTTTCAATTGATAATCTGTGAGGAATTCAATACATCTTTCGAGGATTTATTCGCAGCAAGAATGCTAATTAAATGTGATTGAGACTGAATGATCTAGCTGTTATTTAAAGCCGGTGTTAATGGCACGTTCCGTGGTACCAATGTTCTTACTGACCCCGAATCAACGGTGTGGCTGTTGCTTGGATCGTAGTTCCATTTCCACTTGGTTTGCTTGTTAGCAAAAAAATCCTTATCTCGTTTTTTGTAATCGTCAAAGTAAGTTCATTGTTGTTAATTAATATTGACATACAACGCGAAATATCAGCTGGACACGGAAAGCAATCAATAAACAGGTAGAAAGAAACGTTTGTGTATTATTCGTTATTTTAAGTGTATGGTGTTGTAGTAGTGAGTGTAGCTCTGATGATAATGTTAGATATCTTTAGCTGACATGGAATCGTTTACTGTACACAACAAAACGTACATGTTGCTTTGGAAATATTATTGTATCTTGTGTGTTTAAATTTTCCATTGATGTTTTATTGTTTGAACACCGGAAATGGCATTATGAATGCTTTTGTTCATGATGAGAACCATGACAGTAACTTTTGAAACGGAGTTTCATGCGAAATCCAACAACTACGCAGTTTTAGACACTTTAAAAGATTCAATGGTGTGGTTTTGTAGATAGAGATATACAAGGAGGTTTGAAGTTGCTTTATTTACCCTCTGTATGTTGAAAACTCCGCTCGTAATTAATTTCATATTTAACAAATATACCAGAAGGTCGGTACAAGATACTTCTTGATAGTTCCAACGCTGCCATCTTGATAATGTCCCCTCCGAAATCAGTACAAGTCTAATATCGTAGCAAAACGTATCAAGTCAGAATTTAAATAAAAAAAAAAAAAAAACAATTTCTTGAATTTTAAGTGACCACGAGTTTTTAAAATTTATTTTCACCAGATAATGTGAAGTTGACACTTCTGACCTGTTTATTTCATAGTGTCACGTGATGGCCTGAGTGTACTGACCGGTGCTTGTGTGGTGGGGACATTTTGATGTAATTCTTATATTTCTCGACATTTTTCTAAGCTCTAGACTCCAAGTAAGTGTACACGGACATTCAATTACAAACTGTACCCTATATTTTTGCACCATATTTAGGATATCAGGTCAGTTTGGCGATTTTTGTGATTCATAGTGACCGAACAAAGGACAGCCATCTTAGCTATATATAGCCACATATAGAAACATTACTTATATAAAATACGTATAGTGAACAGTATATATAGTATGGCGTGCTCGTCTAAAACTGATACAGGGTTCCATATTACCAAAGAACAGGCTCTAGTTTTCACAACCCCTATTTGTGGAGCTGCTACTGATAAACGGAAACAAATGTCTAGTCCAGTGTCTCCGGACATTATCGAGAACAAACGCCCTGATTTAGGAACACCGGGTTCTCACGTAACCGGTAATTCAAACATGGCTGGCAATAAACTTGAATCCCAAATTTCACCTGAATTTCTGCAAGAATTTGCCCAGATGCTTGCTCCTACCATAGCAACAATGGTGGCTAGTTTAATAGAAAACTCACTCACTCAGACAATCCAACCTATGATACAGAGTGCTGTGAGTACCGCCATTAATAATGATAGCCAACTCGACAGTATCGTCACTAAAAACGTCAGGGAAAAAGTGTCACCCCTCTTACAAACAATTGAAAAGCAAGCATCAGAATTAAAGGATCTGAAAACGGAAATGAATGATCTTCGCTCAGAGTTGGAAGAACAACAACAGTACTCCAGGCGCACTGCGCTTAAATTCCACAACGTCCCAGTACCCCACGGGGATCTTTCTGCTTTTGATACACATGAGGCAGTAATAAACATTGCTCGTGCTATCAAGGTAAACATAAATCGGGAGGACATTTCCAGGTCCCATGTTCTGGGTAAGGTCAAAAATGGTACGACGACTGTTATTGCGCGCTTTGTTCGCTACACAGACCGACACAAAATCTTCCAAAACAAAAAACAGTGTAAAAACCTAGACAACAACATCTTCATTACGGAGAGTCTCACAGGACACCGATCAGGACTTGTAAGCCGTCTCAACAAGCTACGCAAAGAAAAACACATTTATGCCCTGTGGACTATGGACGGCAGAATCTTTTATAAAACGAGTGAATTCTCCGACAAAATCATTATAAAATCTGCAGAATGTGTAAGAGCACTAGAGTTGAAACATCACCCAAGCTCCGTATAATAGATTCCGTGTTTTTTCCTAAAAATGGTCATGTATATATGTCTATGATAACATAGAGGTTGTATCTTATGAAAATTTTTAATATCACATATTACAAGTTTGTTATGCGTCTCATGATATATTAAAAAAATTGTATGTGTCTAATGATATATCACAATTTTGGTATATGTCTAATGATATGTTATAAATTTGATATATGTCTAAAGAAATATTACAAATGATTTGAGTCTAACGGAATAGAACACAATTGGTATGCATTATATATATTACAAATATGGTATGTGATATATGGCATCTGACAAATTTGAGATGTGTCTAATGATATATTCTAAGTTTCGTCTGTGTCCAATGATGCATGTATATAACAAATTTTAGGATTTGTTTCATGATATCATATTGAAAAAATTGGTGATATGTCTAATGACATATTACAAATTTAAATTACGGTAATATTTTATGTGTAATGAAATAATACACAAGATATATTAAAAATTTGATGTGTGACTAAAGGCATAAAACAATTTTTGATATGTGTCTAATGATATATTACAATTTTTGGTATGTGTCTAATGATATATTACAGATTTTGGTATGTGTCTAATGATATACAATGTATTACAATTTTTGGTATGTGCTTAATGATATACAATGTATTACAATTTTTGGTATGTGTTTAATGATATACAATGTATTACAATTTTTGGTATGTGTTTAATGATATACAATGTATTACAATTTTTGGTATGTGTCTAATGATATGTTATAAAATTTATATATGTCTAAAGAAATATTACAAATGATTGAAGTCTGATGGAATAGAACACAATTGACATGTATTATGGTATACTACAAACATGGTATGTGAAAAATGGCATATAACAGATTTGATATGTGTCTAATGATACAATTTAAATTTTCGTCTGTGTCTAAAGACACAGAAATAGTACACATTTGGTATGTATTATGATATATAGCAAACTTCGTATGTGACAAGTGGCATATGGCAAAGTTGATATGTGTCAAAAAATGTATTACAAATTTCCGTCTGAATTTAAATGGCTCTTAATATTTAATTCTAATAATGTGGTTTGTGTCTAATGATATATATAAAAAAAAAACCTTTGTATATGTCAAATGAAATACTACACACTTGCTATGGCCTTGGTGATATATTACAAAGTTGATGTGTGACTATCAGCATTATAACAAGTCTTGATATACGACTATAGGAATAAAACTAATTTGATATGTGTCAAGGGAAAACTTACAAGTTTTGATATTTGCCTAACGATTTATTGCACATTCTGGTATGTGTCAAGTGATATATTATAAATTAGATATATGTCCTAATAAGATATTACAAATTTAGTATGAGTATGCGACTAATTGCACATGGCAAATGTGATATTTGTCTGATGATATATTACAATTATTGGTCTGTGTCTGATGATATATTACAATTATTGGTATATTACAAATATTCTGTGTCTGATGATATATTACAAATATTGGTCTGTGTCTGATGATATATTACAGATATATTGACAGATATATTGGTCTGTGTCTGATGATATATTACAAATATTGGTCTGTG